AAAGTAATATAAAATAAATAATAATTATAACTTTAAAATAAGTTAATATTTAAAATATAAAGTTATTTATTATTAATAAATTTAAAATATTTATAAATTAATTTTAAAAAATAAAAAATAATATTTATATTTAAATAACTTACTTACCTTTATAATTAAAAATAACTTTAATAAATAAAAATAAATTTTAAATATTTTTATTATAAAAATTAAAGTTAAAATATTATATAAAGATATAAATAACTTTAAGAAAGTAGAAATAATATAATAATAAAATTTTAAAATAAAATAAAAATATATTTATAAAATTATAAAATAGAAAAGTTATTAATTAAATTATAATATTATATATTTATATTTTAAAGTTTTTAATTTTATAAAATTATAATAAATATAATATAATAATAAAATATTATATTTTATTTATTATATTTTTAATATAATAATATTAATATAATTTTTTATTAGTTTTTAAAAATATTCTTTATAATATAATATTTTTATTATATTTTATTAAAATAAAAGTTTTATATTTATATAAATTTTTTAATATAATTATAAATTTTATAAAAAATTAATTATTAAAGTTTATAATAAAGTATTTATTAATATGTTTTATACTTTAATTATATAAAGTATTTTTTATAATTTCTTTTAAATTTTTATTATTTAATTATTATCCTTATTAAATAGTTTAAACTTAAAAGTTTTTAATTTATAATAATATTTATTTTTTTATAATTAATTAAATTAATATAATAGTTTATTTAAATTTATTATTATTTTTTTATTTATTTAATTAAATTATAATTAATAATCTTTTAATTTAAAATTTTATTTATATTTTAATATATTATTTAATTAAATATAACTTATTATATATATTTTTTTAATTTAAAGTTTATTAAATTAATTTATATTTTTTAAGTTTATTAATTAATATTTTATTTTAATTTTTATATTACTTTTAATATTTTTTATATATTTTAATAAATAACTTAATTTAATTTTTATATATTTTAATTTAAAAATATTTTATAATTTATTTATAAAAATAATAATAATAAAATATTTTTAATTATAATATATTAAAAGTAAAATATAAAATATATGTTATAATTAATTATAAGAATATATAATAAATAAATAAATATATTAAATAGATTTAATAAAATATTAAAAAATATAAATTATATTTAATTATATTTATTTTTATATTTAATAAAAAATTAACTTTTAATTAAATAAATAATAATATAATATTAACTTTAAAAGTTTTTTAATTAATAAAATAAAATTTAAAGTTATATAATTTAAAGAAAATAATATTAAATTTATTATAAAATATTAAAAAGTTTAATAATAAGTTTATTATTAAATTAATTAAAAATAGTAAGTTAAATATATTTATTAATTATATTTAAGTTAATAATAAAATTATATTTTTATAATTATTTTAATAATTTAAATTAATAAAATAAAATTTAAATAAGATTTAAAATAATATTAAATTTATTATAAAAGATTAAAGAGTTTAATAATAAATTATTATTAAATTAATTAAAGAAGGTAATATAGTTAAATATATTTATTAATTATATTTAAGTTAATTATAAAATCTTATATTTTTATAATTAACTACCCTTTTTTTTATAACTTTATTTTTATTTAATATTTATTTAATAATAATAAATAGAATATTAAATTTATATATATAATAATTTACTTTTATTTTTTAAATTTATTTTTAACTATTTAACTTTTTATTTTATAAAGAATATAATTAAAATATTAAATAAATTTTATTTAATTATAATAAGTTTTTATTAAAATAATTTTAAAGAATTAAATTAATAATAAACTTTAATAATAATATTAATATATAAATAGTTAAATATTATTTTATTAAATAAAGAAATATAGTAGTAAAAGGTTTTTATTTAAAGGTTATATTTTAATAAAACCTTTTAAAACTTTTAACTTTTTAAATAATTAGTTTATTAAAATAAAAATAAATTATAACTTTTAATAAATAAAAGTTTAAAAATAATTTATTCTTACTTAATAAATATTATTATATATTTAATTATAAATAATAATAATTAAATATATAAAGGAATTTAAAATAATTTATTATAATTAATAATTTTATAAAATATAAAGTTTTAAATTATTAAATTTAATTAATATTAATATAAATAAAATTAATTATAAAAATATATTATTAACTTTTATTATAATATAAACTTTATAATATATAAATAATTTATAATATATTAAAAGCTTTTAAATAAAAAAATAAGTTAACTTTTAACCTTTATATTATAATAGTTTTTATAATAACTTATTATAAATTAAAAATTATTAATAATAAATAATAAAAATATTAATAAATTATATTAATTTTAATAATTATAGTTTTTCTTAAAAATATTTTTAAACTTTTAAAATATTATAATTAAAAATTAAAAATATTTATTTTTATTATATATATATATTTTTAATAATTAAATTATATTTTAATAATAATAAAACTTTTATAATTAATATATAAAGTATATTAAAATATATTATATTTAAAAGAATATTTAATAAATATTTTAATAATAAGAATAATTTAATTATTATATTAAATATAATTAATTATTTTATTTTAAATATTATTATTTATTCTTATTAAAATTATTTATAAATAGAATATATTTATTATATATATAGTACTAATAATTTTATAGAACTTTTAACTTTTAAATATTTTATTATTAGAAATATATTTATTTTTATAAATATTTTTTAAATACTTTATTAAATATTATTAATATATAATAATTTAAATATTTAAATATATTTTATATATAGTATTATTTTTAATAAGTTTTATATTTATTGATTAAAATTATAAATAATATTAAGTTTTTAAATTATAAAGAATTTAAATATAATTAGTAGTTTTTAATTTATTAATAAAATTAAAGAGTAGATATAAAAGTAATATTTAAATATTATATTAATAATATAAATAAATAAAAATTATATTAATTAATATTAAATATAAAATTTATAAAAAAATAATAAATTATTAAAGTTATATAATTTAATTATTTTAGTTAAAAATATAATATATTAAATATAATATTAATTATTTATATAAAATTAATAAAATAATAATTTTAATTAAGATATTAAAAGTATTTTAATAAGTAGTTAACCTTTAAAATTTAATTATGAAGAAACTTTTATTAATTATTAATATTTTAGATATAATTTATTTATAAGGGATAATATATAGTAAATTAATAATTTTTAATTTATTTAAAATTAATTTATAAAAATATTATATTACTTTAATAATATAATAAGAGTATTATTTTTATAGATATATATTTATTAAGTAATTTAAATAATAAATAGTTATATAAATTATTTATTTTAATAATTTAAAACAATTTAAATATATTAAATATAAAATAAATAATTAAAATATAGATTAAAAATATTTATTTAATATTTATTTATTTTTTTAACTATAAATTAAAAGAATAGTTTATTTTATATAAAATAGATAGTTTTAAGCTTTTTATATTTATTTTTATTATATTTTAATTATTTTAATATTTCTTTTAATATTTTTAAATATAAGTTTAACTTTTTAGAATAATATTTTTATTATTATTTAAAGTATATTAAATAATAATTTTATATTATAGTAAGTTATTTTAAAAATAATTAATAGATATTATATATTTATAATATTTAATTTAAATTAAGCTTAGTTTAAAGATAATAATTATTAGAGTTTTTATAAATATTTTATAAAATTATAATTATTAAATTAAATTCCAAATAGTAGATATTAAAGTTATTTAGTAAGAATTAATTAATATATTATAATATTAGATAGTAAAATAAAGTTTTTAAAATTAATAATTATATATTATAAATATAATTTAATATATTAATTTATTAAATTTAAAATATTCATAATAATATATTAATATTTATTATTAATATAATAGAATAAAAAGGTAACGAATAAAAGAGATTTAAAATTATTAAAATTAAATTAAGTTATATTATTATAAGAAGGTAAATATTAATATTTAAATAAAGTAAATAGGTAAATAGTAAATAAGGTTTTTATAATAAAGTAATAATAAAGTTAAAATAATATAAAATAGTATATAATAATTAAATAAATAGATAATAATTATTTTAAATTTTATTTAATATTTATTATTAATTTAATAAATATAAATTAAATTTATTATATATTAAATATTAAAGTTAATATAAGGTAGGCTTAATAGCTATATAAAATTATATAAGTTTTATATATAAAACCTTATATTAAGTAAGTAAATAGTAGGAATTAGGTAAGTAGATATAATTACTAGGTGAGTAGATATTAGCTTTCTTTTTATTAATTACTTATTTAATACTTATTTTCTTAATAACTTTTTTATTTATAAGTATTTTTAAGATTAATATTAAAAGTTTTATATATAATATTATTTAATTTAAGTTATTAAAAGTATTAAAAGTTTTAATTAAACTTTTAATAGTTATTTAAACTTATATAGTTTTACTTTTATTTTATATACCTTTAAAGATATATTTAAAGCTTTTATATAATAGTTAATATATAATATTTATTTAAGTTTATATATATAAAGTTAATTATATTAAAATAATTAATATTTATTTAAAATTAAATAAAAAGTATTAATTATAAATTATATAATATTAAATTTTATTAAGTATTATTCAAGTTTTTAAAAATATATATAAATAAAAATAACGATATAACTTAAACATTCTATAATATTCTTCCTATAAGTCTGCGCTATGTTACCACTTCGGTCCTGATAAGAAGGCCAACCCGTGTGGAAGGTCTCCCTTGCTCACTCAGCCAAGGCAGAACTCTGAGCTGCCCGTACACGATTCAGTACGGATCCTCATCATTCGGCCTCATGCCAAAAGTATGCCAAGGCCACGAGGGTCGCTAAAAATGAGATGAACGTCATTCTCGACTGCAACTGTGATGTGACATGATGACCATTGAGGGAATCAGTTCTTGGACAGCTAATGCGGGGCCTACACCAAGAACTACCCCCAATATGGACTTCATATTGCCATGCTGATTTTCATTCTACGCAATCACAGTTTATAGCTGTGGGAACAGCTGGTCCGCTAAGTCCATAATGTAATCCACGTACTCATCCCTGGCCGCGCCATCTGACTCCGCTTTCTTTACCTTCCGTTCAAAGCGTTCCCACACTTTAATATACTTATGACCGCTTTCCTTCGTCGTGCCAATCTGCAAGAAGGCTTCCCGCATCTTGTCATGGTCTTTGAGCGATTTATACCTATTCAGGAGATGCCCATTCGGTGGCCCGGCTCCCTGGCGGTTCTTATGGTCCCGCCACACATCTCCTATTTGTATGGTGTAGAGTATCATGGCCGCCAGAGCCGAAGCCAAGGCGGTAGCCACAGATGATCCGGTCAGTGCGGTGTAGTTCTTTACGCGGGGATCGTCGTGTCGCTCCGTCACTACCTGATATCCCGGGAAAATAAAGTCAACGTGAGAAAGACCACCAACCCACTTATAGGTTCCACCTGCTGCCTCTGCCGCCCCAATCTTGAACAGCTTTGTCGTGTGGCTGGCCGCTGGGTAAGTCACGGCTGAAGCCGCGCCTGTCATTTTGAGTCAGCGAGGCAAGGAATTTTACAAGAAACGAGGAAAAGTTTTACCTTGGTCTGCCGCCGCACAAAACATAAGGATGTTCTGGTGAGCAGCGGATTCGATGGCTCTATTCAGTTTCCGGATGTCCAGATCATTCTTGTCTGATTCTTCAATGGTCCAGGACATGGAGATGATGTCAACCTTTTCTTCAACAGCGGCAAGGACAGCCTATGACACGATGAGTAAGCCACTGCTGGTGATGAGACTGGGAATGGTGAGCTATTGATGTACCTTTGCAGCACTGGCAGCTGTGATTGTTCTCTTGCCCTGGCCATTGTCGAACTCATCTAACCTCAGAATGTGCAGCTTGACATTGGGGCAGATCTTGCATATCAGTCTAGCCATCGCCGTACCATGTCCGCCAGGTGAGACATAGTACGGGTTGTTGAGATTCTGTTTCTCGTCACGACGGCAGAAGCTGCTTCCACCTTGGATTCTCGAGTGCAGATTGGGGTCGTTAATATCTACACCATCATCAATTATGGCAATTGTGATGGGGTCTTTCACGGTCAATTCGGTGTTTCGCTGAGCGGCCTGCAGGAAGTCTGCGAACTCTTCCATGCTGGTAACCCATTTATGTCTCTCGTGCTGGTCACGCGCCGCGACCACCCCCTTTGCCGGGTTGTCCATGGCAGCATCCCCCATCTTTGTGTCTTCAACGGATATCTGGGTGCCGCTTTCGACCTCTTTCTTGAATTTTGCCACGTTTTGTCTCAGTCGATTACGAGTTTCAAGGCCCTTGGTGTGGCATATGTGAGCCACCAAGAACCACCCGGGAGAAGAGGCAGTACGTACCTGATGAACATGAAGATGAACTTTTTGAAGCTCTTTCAATGTCTTCAAGCCCCCTTCTGTGGCGCTCCACCCCAGAAGAACAGCGTTGTTGCCACTCCAATACAAATGGACCACACGCACTTTCGGCGCCGCTTTGTGAATGACATCAGGAGACAAATCAAATTTTCTCCAGTCCCATGTCTCCACACCCATCCCGTCAAGACATGCTTCGATGGCCTCATCGCTGTGCGATGGCTCCTTAAGGTCATCCACAATGACCTTCAATATGGTCTTCACTTTCTTGTCTTCCCTGAGCCATTGGAATATTAACGTCATGTCAGTGCGGCCGCTTCCGTCAGGCTTTGACTGCAGCTGACTAGGCTTCTGTTTCCTTGATGATTCATCTTCAATAAACACCCGAGGAATCGCCACATATTGGAGGATGTCCTCAAGATGGAGATGATGAAGCCCTGAAACCAATCCAGTCTTGCTGATCTCTGGTGACGTTCCGAACAGATCGAAGTAAATCTGTTTGTCTAATTAAACCGTTAACTTAGGCAGAAACCATCTTCCATGAACTTGTCGGTTTTACCTTGTTTGGCCCCGTAAAGTAACCTAACCGCTTCATCGTGGGTCCTGTTCCGTAGATAGTGTAGCTTCAAGAACTGCTCAATTTCAGATGCGCTGCTCCTTGTTGGGTTCAACCTTGACCTGTGGGGTGTCTTCGTTGACATCCCCATTTTGTCCTTTTCTTTCGACGTTGAAGTGGCTTCTTGGGTTCTGCCGTCGACTGAGTGCGCAGAAATGTCTTGATTGCCGGGGTACACTGTGGCGATCTCCGGATCAACTTTTCCTGTAGGGACTTCTGCTTGCGTTGGAGTCATTTCTGACTGAAGATAATGTGACCATCGCGATGCCGAATAGTCCCTTCCTTTCTCTCTAGGTTGCGCGCCCTTCAAGTCTTTGTGCTCCTTGCGTCCATGACGCTCCCTCCTATGAGATGAATCAAGTTCCGTCTTCTCTGATCTTCTTCTCGTCTCGGCCGAAATTGTGTCTTTTTGTCTTGCGCCGTCGGATGTTAATCGATGGTAAAGGTACGGAGATAGTGGACCCCTTTCAGGATGATTATACGTCTTGTCCAGAGCTTTCTCACCCGTCTCCACCAAAACTTCGACGATGTTCAGCTGTGTCTCATCACATCGCTTGAAGTCTACTGCCAAGTGAAGCGGTGTGAATCCATTCTCGTCCATAGCGCAGAGAGTATCCGCTTTCGACCTTCTGATCAAATCCACTAAAAAAGCCGCATCACGAGAGGATGATTTCTTCGTGATGGCTTCGTGAATGCAATTTGTCGACCGCGGATTATTCATCTTACCCATGGCTAGGATACTGTTGATATCGTGATGAAACTCGCACATAACCTTCGCTAATTTGCGGTTCTTGTTCATGATAGCGCAGAATAGTGGTGTTTTGCCATTGTGGTCGCGCTCTGCTAGAAGGTTTTCGTCCAGCTTTACTAATGCGCCAATGAGGCCCTTCATATTCTTCACCTCCGGCATCTCGCTTTTGGGCGCTTCGGCGATCAGGTGCAGCAATGTCATGTTTTTGTCAGTTTTCTTCGCCAGGTACTTTTCTTTCTGCTTGAGAAATTCTTTGAGGCCAGATTCTTCTGCGAGATCAAAATCACCAGACATGGCCATTTTGCTCTTGCTAGCCTTGCCAGATTTAGCACAAAATCTGAGATCGTCCATGATTTTGAGTAGATTGCTCCTAGCGCTTTCGTCTTGTGCGTCGTCAGAGTCGGAATCATCATTGCTTGAACTGGACGGGCTGTCATCCGGGTCGTTTTCTCCGTCATTCGTCCCCAAGACCCCGGAATACTCATAATGATTCGAAAAGCTCATGTTGAATGAAGCAAGTACATCAGAGTTAAAAGTCTTGCAAAAGACGTTGACGAGGTTGATTCAAGAAGGCTGAGATAGGCGATATCCGTGATTAAAAGCTTCCAGTCTTAGCGCTCAGTATTTTGTCACAACTTGTGGTGGGCTGCTACATTATTCCATCGGAAACATTTCGTACGAGAAGGTTTCCTCTGCCTGCTATGGTGCCGCACACCCGAGATTGGATGCGCCAGACCGGAAGAAGATTCAGTCAAGGATTGGACGGTAAGATGCGGCTTATTTCAAATTCAATTGCGGCTGATGCGTGTACCACCACCCCTGTGAGCAGATTTACTGCAGGCTGTCGAACGTTAGCCAACGAACGGCAGTCTTTTACCGCCGAAAGATAACACGCGACAGTATACAGTGCGAGTGAAATCATATCCTGTTCCACGAAACACCCCGTTGCTGCCCGATCCCTCAGCTGCTCCCCTGACAACAGAGTACTGTTCGGAAAAGAAGAACGAGGAGGAGGGAGACATCCAACAGCAATCAGTCAATAGTAAAGTCTCCGATACTCGCTCATTGATTAGAGCATTCAGCAAGCTGTTATCCGGAACGTCAGCACCAAACCCTTCTGGAGCATTTTCGTCATAACGGCGAATTCAGTGTGCTCCAAATTATGTGCGTCCGGATACATGGCAACAAGTCCCCGGTGGACGCGGGGCTACTCGAACGAGGGTTGACAGGCCCTGGGCGAGAGCAGACGTGAGGAAAGTGATCTGAAGAAAGAAAGCTAGGAATTCATTGAACAACAAGCCAGATATGAATGCAAACCCATGTCCCTTCTCCCGAGTTTGGCTATTGCTCATCACCATATAATATAAAGCCATGTCAGCGTCTACCTAGGCCCTGATTTACCCAGATTCCTGATCATCATTTGTGAAAGCCATGGTGCTCAATTCCAGTAGATCAATGTCCCCAAGGGAGTTCACATCATATTTTCGCAAATGATTGGTAGGGGGCAATCTTGTATCGTATAGAATGGGGTCGTCTCTGGGCTTCCAGCCGAAAACTCGTGTGAAACGGCTCACCAGGTCTACGTCAGCTTTGATTTTGAAGGTGCTGTAGAAGAGTTCTTCGTCGTCGCTTCGTGACAAGAGAATCGATGTTCTAACATGTGCTGGGACTCCTGTAGCCTCTGTTTCGTTTTCCATGATTGTCCACGACACGGCGTTGGCTGGCCCGTAGTTGCGGCCTTGCACGTCCATGGAACCCACTATGGTGGTGACGTCTTTCCTCTCACGGTTTACAACCTTCTCCCACTTCCAGCCGGACCCAAACTCAGCCCCAAATACATTTCCACCGGCTTTGATTTCGCTCGCCATCGTCATTGTCTCGCTTTGTGTTGTCGGCGGCTTCGGCCACATTGTATTTTTTGTTCAACTATGTATTTATTTATTCATCGTCTTCTCAACTTTTAGACTAGCTATCGGCTTATACTTTAAGTATAAAGTCAATAATTACTCAATATATACCCTTAAACTTATTTATATATAATAGAGTTACTAACTTCCTCTATAAGGCTCCCTCTTCCATTATATTCCTTATATATTATATAAAAGTAGATAAATCCTTAATAATAAAATAGTATACTTAAAGAAAGAAGATTTAATTTTTAAGTATTTAGACTTCCACTTTCCTTATATAGTATTTATCTAATATATAGTAAATAAACTCTACTTAACTTTTTAAAAGGGTTTTAATTTTTTTATAGAATTTATATAAAAAAGCTTTTTTAAATAGGTTTATTATTATAGTATTACTATTCTATTAGTAACTATATATTTAAGATAGGGATTATAATATATTTAACTTATTTAATAAGGGTAGATTTAAGTAACTATATAATAAGTATATTAATAGGGAAGAGTTAGTTTATTAGGTCTTATATTATAGAATTCTTTTTCTTATAGGGGCTATTTTAAAACTATTTTAATCTTATTATATAACTATTTTATTAACTTTAACTCTAGTATTGTAGTAGATTAGCCCTTAGGCTACTTATATCGATAATTCTAGTACGGCACCGTTAAGAGCGATACCTTCTAGCCTTATCTGTATAGTATGAGGCTTAGCTATATACCCACATACTATATTCTCTTTCTACTATTATTAGCACTATATTTCTTTAGATGCTAGGTCTTGAGTGTTTACTACTGTATGAAGGCGCTATATATATTTTATATATATGGGGATTGAAAATGAAACCATGAAAACCACCACTTGTGTTGTCGGCACCATAGTCATACGTCCCTTTGGGGAGACTTTTAAAACCTCGGGCTCCTTTCCGTTCTCTGAAGCGAACCTAAACTCTATGTCGATTGTTTTGATGCGTCGAGATATCTTCCGAGGGTCGAACTGGAATTCGTAGACCAGAAGTGTTGCTGGACCCTCACCATCCTTCACATAGCCGTGAACGACGTCGGCGGCGGTACAGCGGATATCAATGACGCCCTTACGCTCTGTGATGTTTGGTCGCTGGCGGGGATCAGAGGGATCGTTCTGCATGCGAAAACTGCTTCCGTCGTCGCCCTGCTCACCGAGTTCAAGGTCAAAAGCCGGCAGACCCTCCATTGTTGGTTTAACGGACATGGTGGAGACCATGTAAGCGTAGTTAGTGGGGTGATAACCCTGGGAATTTAAGTGAATACGTTTAGTTCTCCTGAACACGGCCATTCAACAACAGCCCGTATTTGACGTATTGTTCATTGTTTTCTTGTGTAGACAGTGCGGCTTGGCATGGTGTCATGTACCGTAGGCTCTGCACGATTCTACCGAAATCTGTATTATTGGCGGATGCCTCCGTCTGACTGTGTTTGCCCCCCTGCCGCGTCGCTACGGCTCGAGGTCAATTAAGTAGGGATGCATGTGGCTGCGTTATTTCCTGCCAATGCTGCACAGATAATGCGGATGACCGCAGACATGGATTCTGATTGGGAGACAATCTCTTGTGGATGGGTCGCCTATCCCAGATGTGTAGGGTGACGAGGCGAGCGATCCCCCGAACGACACTTGTGCATCAGGGCAGCTCCGTTTTTCTGCTCTGACACTCAACTCGATACTGCGGTGGGAATTTCGAACTAATCTCAAAAATCACGATATTGGCAAAGGAGAAATGATAAAACACTTTCGACCGTACACACACTCCAGTAGAGCCACTTGTCAACCCAGCTTCGTCTCTGTATGAGGAGCCATTGGTGAGCTCTCCGTCTCATTTGAATGGGCCATATTTAACAACCATCGGCAGTTCAGATATGCCTTCGACCGAAACAGCTTCCGATCAAGTCTCCGTCGATGATGGTGACCGAGATGGTCGTATAGATGAAGGGACTGCTGTTGCGGAAGCCAGCTCCACCAGCCATATTGATGACGATCAGGGGACTTCCCCGGATTCTACACAATGTGATCCATGGGAAGAGGCTAAGGACTTGGAAGAGGTTGAGGCGCAATGGAACGACGTGCTAAAGTACATGAAGGGGGAGAAACCGCCTGAATATGATGCCCGGGGACTCGTTCCACTTTGGCTTGGTCGAAATGACAGCACCGCTGAACACCCGAGCCTGATTCCACACTATTTTGAGTGAGTGGGACGTCTAATCTGGTCAAAGAGTGTAAATGGAGACAGGCTGACACGGGAACAAAGCATTGTTGTGGTACACGGATTTTGGGGTGCTCGACGACCCCCATGGAAAAACCCTGGGTCAGGAAATTCATCCTGGCTACATCGACAGGGCTACAATCAACATCAAAATGTCGTGTCTTTTGGTTATGACCCCATGACTATGCTGAGTGGCACCTGCACACATGAAGTTATGAAGAATTTGGCGATGACTCTTCTAGAAGACATCAAAAGAATGAAGAAGTCATCTACTCAGGTTAGAGTTTCACTGGAATTCAGAGAACCAAATTTACTAACTCTTTAAGATGCGGGGCCTAATGTTCATAGCTCATGACGTTGGCGGTAGCATAGTCAAATGTGTAAGTGTATTCAGATCCGTCACGCCTGTCCAACTTTAAAGTTCATTACACCGATAATCAGGTAATCAAAAAGGCGCTTGCGCAGGCCCAACTCAATCCGCTCGCCTACGGGTTTATATCCGATGCTACGCGTCTTCTCGTAAGTGTTGCGTCCTCTCAAGTTGCGGCACCTGCTTATAGTCGTCAGCTTTTCTACGGCTGCCCGCATAGGGCCACGAATCTCCGGGACATGGAGCAGAGACTTTCCAAGTTCGTTTACCGCCGGAAAGAGCGGAGAAGTCATAAGTTGCGTTCGCAAACAAGCGGAACTACAAGCCTTGCCAAAGCCATAACAGCGATCAATGACTCCTACTTCCTCTCGAAGCAAATGTTTCGGTCTTATGCAATAAGCGTTTTTTCTGGGGCTTCCAATAGTAATATCGACGAGGTGCGCGTTAAATCCCAAAACACTTTCCAAGTATTACGAGTTTTACTGGAAAGAACTTGAAGAGCGCAAGGTGCATTCAAACTGATGAACATAGGTTTTTGGTAGTTTCTGTGGCACCTTGGGATCCCCCTTCGAGTTTCGTATCGCCGGTGGCCGGCATCGGGACGGAGAACGCTATCCAATCAAATGTTGCATTGAGAATATAAGACAGTGTAAGAAGCTTTGGACAGACGTGACAAGCACACATGACGACTAGCTAACAGATTGGTAGCACTCAGCTTTGACAAATCTAGTCTTCGTATTGAGAAGGCACTGATCTCTCTTGCCTCGCCCGTGCCTCCCCTTCGGACAGGCGATGGCTTGGACAAGTCATACGCATGGATCAGTGAGAACCAACAATACCAAGCTTGGCGTAGTAGGCGGAAGCCCGAGATTCTCTATCTGAAGGGCGGTTCCCACGCACGATTGGCATCGGAGTACGTTCTTTACGATCTTGAAATGCTCGACGGCCCATGGAACCGACAATTCGACCTTTTTTTCCCTTTCGACCGCTACGATACCCGAAGAGATGACGCACTCGACATGATGGCTACATTCCTTGCTCAGATGTTAGGGCATTCGCCATCAAGCTCCGTTAATGCCTGTGAACCAGTGTATGAAGTGTGCCGAGTGAATCGCGGCTGGCACTACAATGATGCACTCGCTATGTTTCAGAGTTGTCGAAATTGGTGTGGGGCCAGAGACATCTCTTTTGTTCTCGTCAATTTCAATGAATGCGAGCCGGTGTCTAGAAAAGCCTTCCTAGACTTCTTCCTCAATGTTTCGCAGACTCGAGAATGGCATTGGAAAATTGTGGTTACCAGCAGCCGGAAAGACGCCTTAGCTGAAGAGCTCAGCAACCTACCTGTCGTCTACCTGGACGTATCAGCCAAGGGAATCGCGACTCAAAAGTATCATGACCGTGCAACTGATCCACATGGTCCTCTGCTGCTAAGACAAGGATCGAACGGGCAAGCAGCCAAAAAGGATGTGGATCAAGAATTAGAAGCTCTTGAGGGTCTGGATCCAGATGTTCGTGATTCTTTAATTCAACATGCTAAATCCGACCACGAATCGCCGTCAAAGCAATCAATTCGACACATAACGGGCAGCCCAGAAAGAATCAGCCTCGACTCCGTCCTCGAAATGATCCTGAAAAAAGTCCCAGATCACAAATTCGCTTCGCGAACGCTTGCCTGGGCCCTTTACGCTGTTCGGCCTCTGACGCACTTGGAGTTTGCAAACGCTGTCAGTTTTGAATTGAACAACGCGGGCCCCGACCTCCGGCAGCTTTCCAGCCAAGAGGCTGACGAGCTTATCGAGAAGTTGCAAATTTGGTTGGCAGGCGTCCTCAGCTTTGAGAACAACACGGTGGCCCTCTCTACGCATCATATTCGAGAATCTCTCATCAAGGTGTCAAACAATCAGTCAAGTTCGTCGCATATATGGGATTCATGGGACAGGAATCCACATGGCGTCATCGCCAAAACTTGTCTTGCTTATCTGGCCACTCCTGCGGCGCAGAAAAGCCTTGCGAGGCGTTATGACAACTCACTCAGTGACGCAGTCTCCCAATCTACGGACAGCCATGATACCAGCATTGAAGATTACGCGGTTCAATATTGGATTCATCACGCTTCCCAGGCGCCCCATGGGTACGATTTGACGGAGGATGTGGCTAGATTTGTCAGGTCCGGCGTTACCACCAACTGGTCCAAATCATATTGGTCGCTTGCAAATCCTTTCACCCGGAGTCCGCGACCATTTACATCCCTCTATCCTGTCTTAGCGGGTCGAGGTCTGGTTGATCTGGCTGAGAGCTTCCGGGTGAACGATGAGGACTTTTCCGATGGGCTGGGCGAGGCATACATCAACAGATCCTCACACAGTGCGGAGATACTTCTGCGCAAAAGACGATACTCAATCGACACTGTCAAGCGCGCTCTCACCTGTGCTGGCGGACGAGCTGACGAAACAGCCTGGGAAGGATTGATTGAGTATATTTCCAAAGAATACGCACACTTTCCCTGGGAAGGCGATGTAGCACAGGTGGTTCGTGCAAGTCGGCTTGGCCTCAATGTTGTTCTGGCCAGACTTTTGGAACTCGGCTGCCCTGCCGACACACCGCATGATATTAGTGGAGGTCCCGGGATGATGGCCCGTTCCGTACCGCTTCGTCAAGCTGTCTTTGGGAACAACCTGATAAGTGCCAGATTGTTGTTGAAATACGGCGCAGATCCTCACGCTGCGAACGACTTCGGATTAACGGCACTTCATTTGGCGGCCGCGTACGGGCACCCGGATATGGTAAAGTTCCTCGGAGAATGCCATGCTGACCTGGATGCCCAAACCATGGACTTCCGAGTGCCGGTATACGAGGCCTGCCTGCTCGGTTGTTCAAAAGCACTGGTAGCTTTGCTCAAATTAGGAGCGAATCCGAATTTGAAGGCTGTAGCCAGCCAAACCGAACCTGGATGGTCCCCCCTTACCTGTGCAGTTCAGGAAGAGAATGTGGGCTGTGTGCGTGCTTTGCTTGACGCCAAGGCAGACCCGGAAGTCTTCGGGCCCTCGGGCACACCCCTTTGGTATGCTGTCGGAAAGGGCTCATTCGAAATATGCCAACTCCTTTTGGATCACGGGGCGGATCCCAACTCGAAATTGAACAACCTCCCCATGTTGAGGCATGCGATCAGGGGCCCCGGTTACGACTCTGTTTCTGATATCGTCAAGTTGCTCCTCGAAAAAGGGGCGGACATAGACGAGGTCTTTTCTGGACAAACTGCGCTAGTACGTGCATGCTGGTCCCATCCTCAACAAAGACATCGTATCGTCAGGTGCCTCCTGCAACACGGAGCCAATGTCAACTTGCCTCGGCCGAAAGGCGATCGTCCCATACACATCTGCGTACTGGAGCATGACGTTGAGACTCTCCAGGCGCTTCTGGACCATGGAAGTCTTGAAATAGACGCTGAACGACTGGATGGCTCTACTGCACTGATGTGTGCTTTCAGTTGCAGTAACCCCAAGGAAGAGATCGTGAGAAATCTCCTGAAGCGAGGGGCTGACCCCAACAAATTTCCTCACCGTGACAGGTCACCTCTCATTGAAGCGATTGTGAGAAACCGAGCAGATATCGTTACCCTACTGCTCCAGTACAACGCTCAGATCGATCCAAACGACGAGCTGATGGACGGGTGGGAGCCCCTGGAACGTGCGGTGGTGAATGGTTATGCAAACATCGTCAGAATCCTGGCCGATGCTGGCGCGAATATCAATCGTCGAGACGATTTTGGGGACAGTCTTGTACACCTTGGAATTGATAGCAGCGCTCTGGGGGCCCTTCTAGAATTCAGACCGGCACTGGACATGAAGACCAAAGACAGCAAAACACCGCTCCACTACATCGAAGACACAACACCGCTTGAAAATATCAAGCTGCTGGTCCGCGCAGGGTCGGAAATCAATGTCACGGATTGCGACGGCTCAACACCCCTTATTGCGGCACTCAGATACGGACACGGAGAGGGCGCGAGGTACCTCATGTCAAAGGGTGCCGACACCACTATCATATCTCCTTGCTTCGGCGGCCCACTCCACGCTGCCTGCAATATGGGGTTGGTAGAAATTGTTGAAGACTTGGTAAATGGAGGAGCAGACGTGAACCTGTCGGTGTTAGGCGAAGCGGGGACACCACTCTCATCCATTTTCTTCGACTCCGACAGCGACAATGAATGTAAGACGAGGCTTATTGACATTCTACTGAAAGCTGGCGCCAACATCAATGACTCGAACAGTCGCTTCGGTGGGGTATCAGTGGCTGCAGTTGTGGGCGGAGAGGTAGAACACCTCCACGCCCTAGCCGCGAGAGGTGCAAGTTTTGCAGGCCGTGATATTTCCGGCAGGACACCTCTCCATTTTGCTGCTTGCCTTGGCAGAAGAGAAATGGTTTCCTTCATCATGGCCAATGGCGGAAAGCACGCGGATAAGGACAACGTCGGTCGGAGCAGCATAAGCTGGGCAGCAGAGGGTGGCAACACAGCACTCCTGGGCGATCTATTGCAACTCAGTGGAAGTGATGCCATCAATGATGTCGATCTAGATGGGTGGACGCCGCTATGCTGGGCAGCAAGGGCCATTGTCGACCGAAGGGCCATTGCCGACGAAAAGACCAGTGCCGATGAAAGTTCCGTTGCGGAGGAGGACGCCAAGCCGAATCTTGACATGCTGAAGTACCTGCTCGATCGGGGAGCGAATCCATTGGTAAAAGCTCGCCTCCGCGGGAAAGAGTATACACCTGCAGGTATTGCTCGATACCACGGATGCGACAATGAGGTCCTAGAGCTCCTTGCTCCAAGATCGGAGGATCGCTCAGGAAGTGCCGATCTGGAATCGACGAGTGGGGATGAACTCGACGGCAACGGTATGCCAGAATTTCTGAGCCACGAACGTTCACGGATTTCCCGAAAGGGATGCGAGTTCTGTGGTCTTGTAAGCGGTTTCCTCTTCTCCTCCGCCTCGAGATGCTGTGGCTAACAACCTTTAGCGGTGCCGTGGCCTGGCGTACACCTGCAAGGTATGTCCCGACTTCGACTACTGCTACAAGTGCTTCAACTGGAAGGACAAGATACACCATGCAAATCATGAATTTGAAGAAACCGGTCCGGAACTCGAGTTTGATAGTGAGTACTCTGAATCTCGGTCCTCGTCGCCTGAACCATCATTGAGCGCGAGTACAAGCGATACGTCTAGTCGTTCTGGTGAGGATGGTAGTGGCGATGGAGAGGAGTCGGCCGATCAGGTGAATTAGCCGTTTAGAAGATGCCGCAACTTCGAGAAGTATACATTTTAGTCATGGAAAACACCACCCCTGGCTCTGTACTTCATATCTGGTCTTGCGGTGTGCAGTACAGCATTCCTATTATGTTACCTGGACCTCCTGAATGTATTTCCCACGTGGAATGATTATTGGTTGATGGACAGGTCTCTACTGTCAGGATTATTTGGTGAATCATACAATACCATTGTTTACAATGTGTCTCATTAGCAGTGCTAAGACTTAACAATTTAGATGGCAGGGATTTATACTAGAGATGTTAATCTATAATTAATAATATATTAAGATATTCCTCCCTTAGTCTTAAGTATCTAGGTAGTTTCGTTTTTTAATCCCTATATATATAAAATATATATAGTATCTTTATATAATAATAAATACTTAAAATTTAATATTTATAGAAATATAATATTAATAATAATAAAAAGAAAATATAATATATAAATATATAGTTAAGCTTTATATTATATAAATAAAATTAAAAGGTATTATTTTAATAATACTATATTAAAATTATTAATATAAGTAGCTTAAGGGTTAATTTATTATAATATTAAAGTTAATATTAATAAAATAGTTATATAATAAAATTTAAATAGTTTTAAAATAATCTTTATAAGAAGAAGAATTTTATAATATAAGATTTAATAAGTTAGCTTTTCCTTATTAATATACTTAATAGTTATTTAAATCTACCTTTATTAAATAAATTAAATATATTATAATCCTTATTTTAAATATATAATTATTAATAGAATAATATTATTATAATAATAAATCTATTTAAGAAAACCTTTTAATATAAGTTTTATAAAAAATTAAAACTTTTTAAAAAGTTAAATAGAGTTTATTTATTATATATTAAATAAATATTATATAAAGAAAGTAAAACTTTAAGTATTTAAAAATTAAATCCTTTTTAAATATATTACTTTATTATTAAGGATTTATTTACTTTTATATAATTTATAAAGAATATAATAGAAAAAAGCTTTATAAAGGAAGTTAAAACTCTATATATAAATAAATTTAAGGCTATATATTAAATAATTATTAAGTTTATACTTAAAATATAAGTTAATAATTAATTTAAAAATTAAAAATAATAAATAAATAATTAATTAAATAAAAATATAATATAATTAAAGCCTTTAAATATATAACTATTAATTTTTAAAGCGCTATATATATCCCTTTTAATCGATAGAGTTATAAATTTATTCTTTAGTTTTTTAATATAACTAATTAGTTTTTAATTTAATTTAGTTTTTTAGTTTTAATTAAAAAGTTAATTAAAACTTATTAATTAAGGAATAAGTTATAATTAAATTAAGAGATTAAAGAAAGTAGGCTTATAATATAATAGTTCTACTTTTAATATTAAATTTAAAAAATTTATAAGTTTAATCTCTACTTAAATTATTTTTAGTTTTAATTTTTTAGTTTTAATCTACCCCTTTAACTAAACTAATTTAATTTAATCAGCTCTTTAATTAAAAACCTTTAATTTAATTAAAGTTAATAATTAAAGCCTTAGTCTTAGTTAGAGTCTATAATTAAACTAATTCTAACTAATTTCAACCCTATTAATCAGCATTATTTTAGCAGTGCAAAAATTGGCGTGCGGCCACAGGGGTGTACTTCGAAAAACGTAAACAGTAGAAGAAGAAGGAAGACCTTGAACGATATGAAGGGGATTGAGGCTACCGTTACAACTTGAGGCAGCAAGTCAAGGCGTTAGTTTCGCATCATGTTTTAAGAAAGGTGTTTTAAGACGCGTGAGGGCTAATATAGATGATTTAACTCCTACTAAGGTACCCGGCCCACATTCCGACAGTCCCCTAATTCTAACCAACTCCTCCTTTAACTACCCCTTTACCTTAACCCTATTTCTATTATTATTAAAATTTTATTCTTCTTAATAATTAAAATCTTTAATTTATTATCTTTATTACTTTTCTTAAATATTTATTTAATTTTAATTTACGTTTATTAAATTCTTTTAAGCTTTTTAATTATTTTTATAACCTTTTAATATTTTAACTTTTTAATACTTTTTTTAATTTATATTAAAATAATAATTAGTTATTTAAATATTATTTATTTATTAATATTTTATAAAATAAAAGAAAAATAAAATATATTAATTTATTTATTAATTTATTTATTTATTAATACTATTTATATCTTTAATATAATTTTTAACTTTTAAGTTTTATAAAGTTTATATAAACTATATATTTAAATAAATTTAATAACTTTTAATTATATAAATAAGAAGAGGTTTTAAAGAATTAAAAGTTAAAAAGTTATTAATAAATTTTGAAATAAAAGTAATAAGTAAAAAAGTAATACTTTAAATAAGTTTAATAAAAAAGGAAAATAATAATAATAATATTAAATACTAAGTTAAATATTTTTTATAAATATAAGATAGTTATTATATGTAATATTTCTATTAAATAACTATATTTTTAAAGAGGTCTCTTAATTAATATACTAGAAATTATAATTAAACTAATACTTTTTTATATTAAGTATAACTACTACTTTTAACACTTAACCCTTTTTTTTCCACCCCTCCTCTTTTTCTATTCATCCTTTTTAATTCCTTGAAATACCTTAAATATCTTAAATATTTTAAACACCTATTAAATAAATTGAAAGCCTAGCATGAAAATAAATATAATTTTTAGAAACTTCTCCGGTTAGGGTGTATTTTCGTGGGTATAGTTGGTATGCATCAGAACCGCGGAACATGCCGGGCGGTACTACTAGTAGAGCACTGCGATGGGAACCTTTGCACACTGCAGCTGAGCAGCAGGCACGCGAGCGCACTCCTGTCATCCGTGCATACTTTAGACTGACTACTCTAAGGTTGCTAGATGGAGCCATTGTGAGATCTGAAGCAAGTGGATTTTGTGAGTAGCAAACAGAAGGCCTTGCTTGGTATTTCCTCCGGATCAATTACTTTAACATTTTCTGCAGATGCTCCAAGTCTGAAAGAACGCCTACTGGACCAAATCGGAAAGTAAATCTCAATTCACCCCTGCTCCTGAGTTTGGTGATATTGAATCGAAGGGTCCAAAAGCTTATGTAGGAGAACGGAAATATCCGAAACAAAAGTGCATACTTTTAATGAGATTCACACATATGCAGTGTTTGATGACAACATACATATCGCTACTCAAAGGGCATTACGACACAGTCACTCAAGATAACCTGCCCATTAACCCCTGAAACACTGCCAGTGAACGATGCCCATTTGCTGCATGCCCTCACTCGATAAGTGGTAACTACAGATAAGTTGATATCAGTAGCAACCCTGCCCCGTTATATTTATCTAGCTTATGCCCTTTCCTAAATCACTTCCTCTATCTAGCTTTTAATAATAAAAGAAATCATGGAACAAGGTAAATGATATAAGTGAAAAACGCCGTAACCCAACCTAACTACTTTTCCACCACAACAATCCGAGTGCACCAAACCTTGTTTTGACTTGAGATGTCTCATATACATGCTCACGTAAGCATGAATCTCACCCCTGACATCCCAATCCTACCCAGGTACATATTTACCTTCACATCTCCTCTCTTCCACAGCCAGCAACCTCACACCTTGACGCTGTTAGTAGCAGGCTGGACAAGACTCGCCATAGGCCGCGGGACACTGGCATCCAGCTGCTGCAGCACCGCGCCAGCAGCAGCAGCAACAGCCTCAACGACAGGCAACCCCGTCCCCAGCCGCGCCTGGACGCTCACCGCCAGCAGGTTGTCGTCGTCCCCAGAACCATCCGCCCCGTCAGCAGCCGCGACACGCAGGCTCGCCCGGGCGATAGCGTCAGTCTCCCCAAGCGTAACCGAGTTGACACCAGGCCGGATCCCTGCAGCCGTGACCCAGTGAACTCCCTCGGTAGGGACGCCGATAGCGAAGCGGCGCGGGTGCGGGCGGCCCCTGGCGTCGACGACGTGGTACGGCGCGCGCGTGACGTCGAGCCCGCCCGTCTCGTAGGCGCCGTCGGGCGTGGCGTGGGCGCGGCACTGGCCCGTCCGCAGCAGGTGGCTCAGCAACCCGTCAGCAGTACACTTGAGGTCGGGCTCGGGGAGGCGCGCCTCGATGAGCGTCGTGACGCGGACGCTGGGGCCGGGGACGTGCGGCGAGCGGACGAGCCAGCCGCCCCCCGTGGCGCGGACTTCCGGGCGCGGGCCGAGCACGTCGAGCACGCCGGCCTCGATCAGGGCGACCATCTGCTCGATGCGCAGCTGCGGCGGGCCGATGGACAGGAACCCGTTGAGCGGCGTGTACCAGCCGTCGAGGTGGTCCCTCCTCGAGCCGCCCGCCAGCCCGCCGTGGTCGACGACGAGGCGCACCTCGTTGCGCAGGTCGCGGAGGACGTCGAGCGCCGCCTTGAGCGGGCCCTCGGCGTTGCCCAGCGCCGCCTGCGCCGCGTCCTCGCGGAGGTAGGCGACCAGCCACGCCCGCCACTCGCCCGCCGAGCTGAAGGTGCGCCGCCCCTGCGGCCGGGCGAGGCGCTCCCACGACCAGCGCTGCTCCCCGGGGACGCCCATCTCGTCCAGGACCGCCGCCTCCTCCGGGCTGGCGTGCGGCGCCGCGAGGAAGCGCCCCTGGAATTTTGTTTGTTGCTCCTCCGACTTCAACATGCCCTCCCGCCTGAGGAGGAGGCCGTAGTACACCGCCTCGACCTCCTTCGCGACCAGCGGCCACACCTCGGCCAGGAAGTCGGGCGGGCTGCCGGCCTCGGCGCGCCGCCGGAACCCGGCGATCACCTCCTCGGTCAGGAGCAGAGGCTGGTGGCGGCCGTCGACGCCCTTCTGGTTCGCGCCGCGCGACTGGTACGGGATCCCGCGGCGGGAGCCCGCAAACAGCCGGGGCTCGTTGCCCGAGGCGACGTATCGGAGCTGTCCGCCGGCCTCGTCGTCCCTGACGAAACGGCCGCCCCGGCCCAGCGTCAGGAGGGCCATGTAGTCGAAAAAGTTGAGCCCCAGCCCGCGGAGGAAGACGGGCTCCCCCGGAGCGACGGCCTCGAGCTCCACGTCGGCCGGGTTCGCGGGCCCGACGTACCGCAGGCCCTGCCGCGCCGCGTGCGTCGCCAGCGCCAGCTCCTCGGGGCCCCTCAGCAGCGGCAGGTGGCCCAGCGCGAGCACCACCGCCGACAGGCCGTAGAGAACACCGCCCGTGGACAGCGTGAGGACCTGGCTGCCCCCCGGCCCGTCGTCGAGGCGCACCGCGCGCGCAGCGTGGACCTGCACCTCGACGCCCTCGGGGCGGGTGCGGACTGTTTCATTGAACACCCACGCCAGGTAGCGGCCGTAGAGGGCGCGCGTCGGGTAGTCGTCGGGGCCCAGGTCCGGCATGCCGCCCGCCGGGGAGACGGCCCACTCGTGCAGGCTCGGCCCGGGGCGGATCGGGCCCGCGCAGCTTACGCTGTTGTCCGTGTAGAGCGTTATCTGCGACGACACCGTGTTCATCAGCAGCTGCTGCGACTGGTCGGTGCGCCACACGCGGCCGGCGCCTGGGGCCGAGGGGTCGACGACGTGGACGGTCAGCCGGGAGCCGGGGGTGAGGAAGTCCCTCGCCGAGGCGCAGAGACGCTCCAGCGTGCTTGTTCCTCGGGGGCCGGCCCCGACGATGGCGACGTGCGTGTCGGTGGTGCCCGGGGCTGCCATGGTGGCTTCCTGCGCCAGTGATTCAGAGGCGGTGCTGCTGGTTGTGTAGTTCATGGTGGATATATACAGGGTGGGAAAGGCTTGAGATGAGATTTCTTTTCGTAGGCCGGGCTCCGGATTTTCAGGTGCCTCCTGGAGTCCTGGTCTGGGTTCGTCTGCTTGAGAGGAGATGGTCGGCTGAGGGTGAGGAATATCGTCAGACTGACGGGCGACAGGTCTCTATTTATGCCCCAGCATCTGGACGGACTGGGGCGGCGTGCCCGGCTTCCCGGCTGACGAGCTCGACGGTTTTCGTCAGTGAGCCTGACGTGCCCCAGCGCGGCGATGAGATTGAACCCGTGAACCTTACTAAGGTCAGCATCTAGACACCACCTCGAGGCGGCCGTACATGATTCCTCACTAGCAGAGTCCCACATGCGGCCGTGGCTCACAGCCCGCCTCGCCTACGGCCGAGCATGTCATGGAACGTCGTTGCGAGAGCCTCACGTCCACTCCGGGCCACTGGTCTGTCATGGCGTGCTGTGTCGCGACCCTCGTCGACAAGAGTCTGGGACCCCGGCGCTGCAAGGCTGTCTCCATTCCACGGTGCGTTTCCCGCGACATTTGGACCGAAGTTACCTAAGGTATACTACGCGGGTCTTCTCTTGCGAGCTCCATTATGCGCCCATTTCCAGGCGCCGAGTCAATACCTCGACCGCATCCGGGAGGATCACTTACACCACACAAACACCTGCGCAGCGGTCGGGCCACAACCCGGCTCGTGCTCGCGTTCAACCCCAAACAACATGATTACATGCACACGGGGAAGTGTCCCTTGTTGCTGACTGTATGGGAGAGCTTTTGTCCCACGGTGGGCATCCCAGGCGGCGTATCTGGGGATCGTGTGGATACCCTATACGCTTCGAACCCACCAAGGGAGCGAGCCGGTCGATCGAGATGGTCCCCAAGGGCCCGCGATCTTCGGGCCCTTCCGTCTTGGAACTACATCAAAAGCATTCTTCGGGACCTCGTAACTGCCCGTGGCCGAAGACGACCTCGCAGTTGGTCAGCTCCTGCAATGACGAAGACCTTGTTGAGCTGGGGCAGGAGGTGGGTAAACATCCGCTGATCCGGCCGGGGAGGGACTATTTGCGGGCTTCATGCTGCTATCTGATTCATACACGGCGGTAAGCTGGGCTCTTCCTTCCCACATGTGCTAATTTGGGCACAGCCAGTGGTCCCCGCGACCAAGTGGGTTGGAACATATCCACTTATAGCATGAGGGTTTCCTGGTCTGCTTGTTTTACAGACCAGATAGGCGACGAGAATCATTCGACGACTTGGAATCAGTTCATGGTTAGTCGATATCGTCGTTGTCTTAATTTATCGGTACCCATCTGGTATCCTCACCAACCCCAGAAATATAGATTGTTCCCCTCTTGAGTATTGCCCGGCGCCGTATTGGAAATGTGCTCAAGTGTGGAATAGGGATCTTGTAGTACATCTAGCTCGGCACAAAACAAAGCCTGTGACTAACCGGTGGATATCACACCCAACCCCCCTCCCCCGTCACAATCATCAAGCCTGCAGCTCGACCGTCAGCCGCAGCCGTCCGGGTCGCACGGCAGTAGCATGTGACTAGCAGCGTGGTGATGGCCGTTCCTGGTGACAAGGCACCTACTCCCTGCCAAGCGTCCGTCTTGGCACGGCGGATCTCAAATCACATCGGGGCGGCTGGCGGGAACATCGTCCGTGATCTGCCCCAACTCAAAGCTTATCAACCGCAAACTTTGAATAATGGGGCGGCCCGCACCGAAACTGTGGACCCTGTCCCGTTTCGCACTGGCACTGCATGAGGCTGACTTGTGTCGACTCCAACCCACCCTCCCTGTCCACCGGCTAGACATTTTTTCCAAGTGGGTGCGATGGGCCCCGGGCGCTGTCCTCACTGTTGTCGGTTGCAGAACTTGAATGCGATCCCCCTCGAGGGTCGTACACATTACGCAACCGGGTGGGCCGTATACGGGTACGGGTGAACGGAGGGAGGTTGGCTTGTAAGAGAGGGCTGGCTGAGCTGGCCGCTTTTGCCGCAGGACCCGCACCCGCGCCGGCTGGGAGGCAAAGATCTCACCTGGATATTAGATCTCGACATGCTGCCGCCCTGGTCCCTGAACACCTAATCCTCCACCCGCACCTGCGACGTCGCTAAGCACATATAAGCAATAAACAACCCTCGCTGCCATGGCCTGATGGCATAGGTCCCCTGTCACCACCCACTGGGCATCTTGACATCCACCCACCTTGAGTTCAAGAGCCAAATAATACCATCAACCCTCCTCATCCCCTCCCCTCCCTCCCCCCCTCATCATCCACCCCAAGACACACAATCTCCACAATGTCGAGCCCAGACCCCAAGCCCGCCGACCTCCACGCCCAGCTCTTCCACGAGGGGCTCGAGGTCCGCCGCGCCGTCCTCGGCCGCGAGTACGTCGACAACGCCGTCAGGACCGCGACGCCCTTCACGCGGCCGGGCCAGGAGCTCATCACCGAGTGGGCGTGGGGCACGGTCTGGCGGCGGCCGGGGCTGGACCGCAAGCAGCGCAGCCTGCTGAGTGAGTCGGACAATCTCCCCTCGCCCCTGGGCCCCTCCCCCTCCATACCCTCCGCCACGGCCCCTTCCACAAGGTGGCGGGGGGCAGATGGCAATTTTCTTTCTTTTTTTTTGTTCGTGTGTTGCTGACCCGGGTTCGTGTACCACCAGACCTCGGGATCATCATCGCCCAGAGGGCGTGGCTCGAGCTCGCGCTGCACACGCGCGGCGCCATCAACAACGGCCTCACCGAGGTCGAGATCCGCGAGGCCGTGCTGCAGGCGACGGTCTACTGCGGCACGCCCGCGGGCGTCGAGGCGATGCAGGTCACCGAGAAGACGATCAACGAGATGGTCGCGGGCGGCGAGTACAAGCGGCCGGAGGCGTGAGGTTGGTCTGGTCGTGGTCTATGTGTACTTGGGGGTTCGGTTTGTAGCGTCACACTTTTGTATGTAGAGGCAGTAGTCTTGGCAAGGGAAGTTTTTCACAGGTATTGCGGGTTCATGCCTTCACTGGGTGGAGGAGATTGGGACTTGGAGGTGGAAAAACGTTCTGAGGCTGTAAGAAATGCAGAACTGCAGGGATGAATGAAAGAGTGTTCGATATTTGTGATATAAATCAGTACTTGTTGGCGAGTAGCACCGGAAGATGCGTGTGCCGATACATATACATAAAGTGCCTGCGTGTGTGAGCTCTTCCAGCCCCAGGACGGATCCAATACTTGTTAGATATCTCGGCAGAGTATTTGTCGTCCCGCTAGTGTTCAATTAATGAGATTCGGGTTGGAAAAAGAGAAAATCGGTAATTATCACAGCACGTAGTAAAGCTTTGCTCGTACATCACATAAGCTCACTGCTGGCTACAGAAATTTCACAGGTCTACAGCAGTACTGGATTTACTCCCAAGGTTTTGTTGTTCGAATTCATTCCCGGCCCAACTTTCAAAAATGTAATCTTCAGGATTATTTGTTTCTTGTTCACACGTTAGCCTAAAGGTTTGGGGGATTTCCTCTGCATCGAGCAGTCTTTTACAAGCTGTCAATGTCGCTGATGCCACGGCATGATACACTTGACACTGCCTACTAGTAGCAAGTTCTCAAAAATGGTATTGCTCAACAGACATCGCGTTTTGGCTTGGTTCAGTACTCGATGATCGTGATCCTGAGTGGGAATGGGTGACGTACAAAGATCACGGGTATTGCGGAAGTTGCGGGAACCGAGTCATACTAGAACTATAGTCGTGCACACGGCGAACACATCTCGATTGGTGACGAACCGACCCGTTCGCATCAGCGGAAAGTCCCACCCGTGGCCCACCGCGGCTCCTCGGATCAAGGTGCCTGTCAAGGTGTGACATAAAACGCATCCATGGTGTGCTTCTCACAACCTCTCACACTACTAGCGAGCGGTTTAGCAAGCCCTTGCTCCTGTCTCAGCTCCCCACTCCTGAGATCCCCATAATATCTCCTTCTCACTCCATCCCGTCAACAGCCACACAGTACAACAGGACTCCCCAACAGGACCCATCATGGCCGCAGAACTGCTAGCACGCTACCCCTGGGTCTCACGGCCCTTCATCGCAAGCGCCCCGATGCGCGTCATGGCAGGCCCAGCGCTGGCCGTCGCCGTTTCTCGCGCGGGCGGCCTGGGCTTCATCGGGCCCGCGGCAAACACACCAGACGTGGCGGCTAATCTCGAAGAGGCGTCCGCCCTGGTGGACAAGATACGCACGTCCCAGCCGCCGCCCACATCAGACCCGTTCCCGCCGCCGGCCACCTCCTGCCTCCCCGTCGGCATCGGCTTCCAGCTCTGGGCAGACGACCTCGGCGCCGCCGCCGCCAGCATCCAGCGGTTCAGGCCCTGCGCGGCCTGGCTGTTCGCGCCGCGGGAGGGGCCCGCGGAGCTCGACACGTGGTCCCGCCGGATACGCGGCGCGTGCCCCGAGACCCAGGTGTGGGTCCAGATCGGGACGCTGAGGGAGGCGCGGGAGCTCCTCCGGGCCTCCGAGAGGCCGGACGTGGTCGTCGTCCAGGGCGCAGAGGCCGGCGGCCACGGGCGGGCGGCTGACGGCATGGGGCTCGTGACGCTGCTCCCGGAGGTCGCGGACGCGATGGCGGGGTCCGGGGTCCCCCTGCTGGCCGCGGGGGGCATCGCCGACGGCCGCGGGGCCGCGGCGGCCCTCTGCCTGGGGGCGGCGGGCGCGGTGCTGGGGACGCGGTTCCTGGCGTCCGGCGAGGCGCGTATTAGCAAGGGGTACCGGGACGAGATCGTGCGGGCCTCGGACGGCGCGGTGGCGACGACGCGCACGCTGCTCTACAACCACCTGAGGGGCACTTTTGGCTGGCCCGAGGGCTACCAGCCCAGGACCATCATCAACAGGTCGTTTGTGGACCAGCAGGCGGGCGTCCCCTTCGAGGAGCTCAAGAAACGCCATGATGAGGCTGCAAAGAGCGGCGACAGTGGCTGGGGCCCGGACGGGAGACTTGCGACCTACGCGGGGGCTTCGGTAGGGCTTATTCATGGGGTGAAGGCGGCGGGCGATATCGTCCGGGAGGTGCAATCGGATGCTTTGGAACGCATCAGGTTACTAAACATCAAGGGCAAGCTTTGAGCTTCGGAACACGTTCGCAGGAGTGTTTCGTTGTTTTCTCATCCGCTGCTTCGAAGGTTATTGAGACAAAATTTACTTGCTACTCATTTCGTTGAAGAAGACAAGGGTAGTCTATCTCATACCTAGGTAGGTTTTGCATCGGTGCGCAGTCACGTCGGGTATTTTTGAAAACAGGTATCATGAGTTTCCGTACTTTCGCGGAAGTTGGCCCTGGAGGTCCTCCTAGAGATGACAGGAGACATAATACAGAGTCGAAAACAAGTGTTTAATTATTTTGGCCTCATGTTTCTATGAAGGGCCCTCCAAAGGCTACACGCGACACAACCGCCCATTCTGAGTGGGCAGTCCCTCCAGCTGGTCCGTCACATACCAGTCCTCACTTCCAACAGCATGATGGGCGTAGAAGAGTCCAGCCGGGTCGATCTTCTGCTTGAAGCCGTACAGACGATCATAAGTGCTCCCAAAGAACGACTTCTGCCACTCCGGCTCCAGGATATCAGCCTCGCTGGCATATGCGCCCTCGGTGATCTCCCTCAGCGGCGCAAGCCACTCATCCGTGAACTCAACGCTCAGGTCCGACACATCAGCCAGCGACAGGTCGGCACTCCAGGACACCGCCGCGATGAGGTGAAGCCCCGCGGTGCGCCACGCCGGGTTGACGGCGTTGTCCTCCCCGGGGCTCCCACCACTAATACCATAGCCGACGAAGCTGACTCCGCCGCGGCCGAACAGCTCCCGCATGGCGGCGTGTGTCGCCTCGAGCCTCCCGGGGTCCACGAGGCTGTCCTCCGGCACGAGGCGGCTGCCGCTGCGCGAGGTCGTCCAGCCCACCGCCTCGGCGTCCGTGAGGGCCTGCCACGCGGGGAGGTAGCGGTCGAACTCGCGCCACCGCGCCCCCACGCGGATGCCGAGGCCCTCCCACGCCCGGAACAGCGGCGCCAGCTGCTGCTGGTGCCGTGCGCTGGTGGTTTTGGGCGCGAACCAGCCGCTCATGATGAACGACACGTCGGCGCCGGTGCCTGCGGGGGCGATGATGAAGTACGAGTAGTGTCCCGCCGCGTTGTAGGCGGGGATGCTGCCCAGGTAGAGCTTGATTGCCTCCCAGATCGTGGCGCTGGTGACGTTGCCCGCGGGGGCGAGGGCGAAGCTCACGACCGAGGCTGAGGAGAGCTTTGGGGCGGCCTTGATCGTCCAGGAGGTGGTGACGCCGATCGTGCCTGCGCCGCCGCCCCGTAGGGCCCAGAACAGCTCCGTGTTCTGCGTCTCATTGGCGGTGACGAAGCGCCCGTCTGGTGTCACTACGTCGATGCTCAGTACCTATGATTTGGCATCAGTGGTGCGCCGGATAGTACATAGGAGTGAGTCCTTGGTCACATTACCTGATCAGCACCCAGTCCAAGACTCGACGACATCGGCCCATGCCCTCCGCCAGCCATATAACCACCTCCAGCAGCAACGGTGGTGCACAAGCCCCCAACTGCAGTCACTCCGTACTCGTCTGCAGCCGCGAACAACTCCTTGTTCTCAAGCCCGGCGCCAATCTTCAGGGCTGGCCCGGAATAAGTTGAAGTTTCGTAATTCTCATAGAACTGAACCTCCTTCCATGAATTCATCCAGATAGAGAGCGCACCAGCTCCTGCAGAGCGGCCGTTGAAATCATGCCCGGTGTTCTTGACGACCAGGCGGAGATCCAGATTCCGGGCGAGGTTGACGGCGAGCTGGATCTGGGCGACGGTCGTGGCGTTGACGACATATGATGGGTACCCCCCAAGAGTGCAGTCCCCTGTCGGCTCGTTGGCCTCGATCTCGGGCGGGAGGCAGGTCATGCCCTCCCACATCGGGAACATGACGTCCGAGGGACTCTTGATGTGCAGGTCGACATCAGCCCATTGCTCTGTCACTCGGGCGCACTCGCGTGCGTCGTAGTTCCCCCATGAGGTGTAGCAGACCGAGGCGAGGGGGACATTTTGGATGATCGCGCCCCCGGTCAGTAGATTGAAAAGCTCCCAGATCGTCCTCCCCGGCCAGAGAAAATCGCCTGGAGCTGTCTTGCACTGGCCCCTTGCAGCACGCTTCTGTGGTTTGCCGCCGCTGGCAAACTCGAAGAGCGACACATTTGAGATGCCCTTTTCTGTGAGGCTGGCCAGCACGGCGTCTGTGAGCACAAAGGCCCCGTCAACAACCTCCCCTGCCGCCTCGACGGTGGCATGGGCCTCGTCCGCGGCTTCATACTGAATGTCAGCAAGAGTTGTGTTAAGCTGTATCAAAGACAGACAAGATTCGGTCGTCGCCAACTGAAGAGCTTATACTCACACGTGGTTGCGCTGCTACCTAAAGTCGTTTGTGCCGTGGCCAGTTGGCTGAGCTGCAAGGACGCAGCCAAGGCAAATGCCTTGGAGATGCTCGGCATTATGTCGATGCTGTAGGTAGAGCAGATGCAAGGAATGACAAATGACAGAATGGTTATAAAAACAGGAATACTAATTAGGATCGTGAGCGGGTATCTGGTGAGAGCCGTGGTTCTTTGGAGGAGGCCCGTAAAATATGTTGGTAGAGTGAACATCCTTAGTCCCCCAGGAGTCGATTTGGCTTGATCGACGGCATGCACATCTGTCGGTGCCCCAAAATTTGTGATCCCTGGTGGGCCCCAGTTTCTGTGCACTTATGGTTAAGAATGGGAGATAACCCGTTACGAAGGGGCCTAGAATGGTGCGGAATGCGTGGATCACGTATATCTCATTGGAGGACCCATTGAGTGAGTACTAGTTCTGGGCGGCCATTCATCATAAAGAACATGGGCCCAGACAGAGAGCGTTTTCGCTCCCCGATTCTGCTGCCAAAATATTTTGTGTTGCACTGCAGGCCGTTGCAGGATCTTGCATCCGTCTCCCTCGAAATGCATGCCTTCACCTGCAGTAGCGGGGAATGAAGCCACGGGAGACCTTCCGAGGCGGATGAGTGCCTGCATTGGGCAGCTGGGCTGTCCGTCCGCACGTGAAGAAGCGGAGAGAGGGGGTAGGGGGTAGGGTGGCCAGCAATTTAATCTGGCTATCTGTAATGCTTCTGTTGCACAGTGGAACGATCCTGCTTCGCCCTTGCATCCATCGGCCAGACGGGCACAACGGGCCCGACGGCTTGACTTATTCCCGAAAGATGGACAAGGCCCCCCACGCGATTGCGTCTGTTCGGCTCAAGTCAACGATGAGCCCGTGAAAATAAATGGAGACAGCATGCTGTTGGCTGAGGAAAGGAACCACACGAATGCACGTTGGGTGTGACGGAGATGTGACGGGTCAGATGCCTCGCCTCGCCACCTCGGCCCAGAAGCTGAAGAACTTGAGTACTGTCGAGTTTACGTGCCCTCGGAATGTGTTACGCGGATTGATTCAGCAAGGAAATACTGACCGGGGAAGGATAAAAGCCATGAGAACTCGCAGCATGGAGATATTCCTTTGCAAACTTAGACACCTTGTCAAGCGCACCTGTACTGTATTTCTGTGGGACCCATAGTGCCTGCATACGGGCCGTCAATTTCGTTCCGCGCTCTGTATCCCCCCGGGCATGGGCAGTCTTTTATTTCTTCCGATGCAAGCACTCAAGTCCCTTCGCTCCCGGTCTGAAACGACCAACGCCACCCTGGTCCAGGCTGCCTAGGCCACCACGCCACGGTCTATTGGACCAATCGGTTAAGGTACCGGGTCGCCCACCCGTGAGATATGTATCCACAGTAAATAATTCGGCTGGTGGAGAAGAATAACGGGGAGCAACTCCGGTCCGTGATTGTCTAAGCCGTTCCGGCAGGCCCATGATGCATCTCGCAAGGTCCAGATGACATATGACATGCCGCGTGGCTCATCTGGATTCCGAACGCCCAGGTGGGCAACTCCCCAACAGCCTTGCAGGATCATTTCCCACTCTCTGCAGACTCGATTTAAAGTAAAGGCGAGGGTGTCTCACGTACGACTTTGTATTGCACAATGCGGCCGAGGTTTCTGGAGCGTGATCAGTGGATTCAGTAAGAGTGCTAGGCACTCATCACCCCGACAAGTGCCAGAGGAAAGGTCTTAATGAAGAGGGACACACTGTTTAGGAGGAAAGCGCTGCTCCTCAGAGTAAGTGTGGCACTTGAAACGAAAATTTCCGGAATACAGCTTGAGCATTGCACTTTTGTCGCTGTGGGAATAAGGTTTCGACCTCTGCTTCGATCAAATTTCAAGCCTCTTCATCATGTGTTCCGACGACACCTTTGTTTTGTAGAGTAGACCGCCGACTCTGTGTGCTCGTATCATGAAATATAACATTCAAGAGTTGTCGTTCCCCTGGTTCAGACGGGGGTTCTTGCTTGATTTGTTGTCTTTTATTTTTGATTCATCTCATAGGCTTTTCGCGTCTCTATCTCAACGAACCAGGGATCATGGCGGGTCCCGTCGATCTCCCGAGCCTCCGGCCCCGCTGGCAGGATGTCAGCACCATCCCCACAACGCAGCACCAGCAGAGGATGCTGGCGGTGATGTACTTCGTCGCAGCCGTGTCGTACGTCATGTATGGCTTGCGGATGTACAGCAGGATTTCTGCCAAGCAAACAGGCCTCGGTAAGCAGTACCAACCGTTACGTGGGGCCGTTTCCTTCGATTCGTCATGAGTTCGCTGACCTCCTTCCAGATGACTGGCTGATTACTGTAGCTGCGGTGAGCGGCATCTCTCCGGTGGCGCACCCCGCCTTTCACTAATAACTTGTCGGACAGATATTATCGATCGCCTTTATGCCTGTCACATATTTTTGTAAGTGGTTCCTCGATAAGCAGATATTACCGCTGTCTAATTCGCATAAACTGTGATAGATTTCAAGTACAACTATGCTGGCTTCTCTGCCTCCGAAATACCGGAAACATTCGATCCACAACCGGCATTATTTTGGACGTGGGTTGTGGGTCTACTATACAACCCAATCCTGGCTTTGGTCAAATCCTCAGCTTTGATTCTCATGTTGAGAATTGCAGGACACAAAACTGGAATCAGGTGGGCGATATACGTGAGCTCAATACATTGTTAGGCCCTGGCCCTGAACCCGGCCTACACGACTCTTCCACACTTGAGAGGTCGAGCTGCAGAACTGACTTGCGTCCAAAGGTCATCAATACCATTAATGTCTGTCTAATGATCTCAACGCTTCTGGTGGTCATCTTCCAGACAATTCCCATTGCTGCTTATTGGGACAGTACCTTGCCGGTTCAGCGAAGTATAGATGCCGCAGCCTTCGCAATGTCCACTTTCATCATGACCATTGTAACCGATATCCTAGTGTTGGCGATACCAATATGGGCGTTCATAGGGCTCAATGTCAACCTTGCAACAAGGATAACCGTCATCATGATTTTTCTTACCAGCGGGTTGTGAGTGTGACTGCCCGTTCACTGTCGCAATTGAGCTCTCAAAGTCTAACATAGTCCTCCTGGATTGCAGCGTGACGATCATTGGAATACTCAGGGTCATTGCCTTCTCTCGCTTCTTCTGGGACCCCAACTACGACTTCGGCAACACATGGGGGCCAAGCTACAGCGCAATAGAGATCAACCTGGCCATAACAGCGGCATGTATACCAGCCCTGCGGCCGTTGCTGAGGAGGTGGTTCCCGCAGCTGTTCCGCAATGCCAGCAGCGAGCAGTCTGGCCCTTACCAGCAGCAGCGCTACTGCGGAGAGGGGAGGAGTACAAATTCAAATAGCATGCGGCTGGGGAGTCTGGGTCAGACGCGAGCTGACCTCCGCAGCGGAGCCCCATCATCGACCGATAGCCAAGAGGAGATATTCAAGTCTAATCCCATTATGAAGCCGACGAATGTAAGACGTGGTGCTTCTTCAAACATCCCTATTGAATACGCTGACAAGCTACAGGTCAATTACTGCTATTGCGATAGGACCAGTTGACGGTGTCAGCTCAAAATTCCATGGAAGGCCATAGGGTCGAAAGATACCGTGCGTCACAAGCGGATTTGGCACTTTGATAGAGAACATCTATGGTAGTTTACACGACCTTTTACTGTATGAGGGGCCCCTCTTGTCTGTAGAACTCATAGATGCTTTTCCAGTCTCGATGGTGTACATGTACCATGTTCATAACGTTTAATTTGAATTTGAGTTCAAATGGAAACAGCCAACAGATTGATGCTAGCCGACTTTTCTGGCTAAGATCCCAAGATAAATGTAATTTGCTACATTTTATCAGGCTCAGCTATTGGCAGTGCATAAGCCGGTTGGTGGCCGATTCGGGTCTAGACGATTTCGCTAGAGGAATCCTTCCAGCGGACCCATCAAACAAATGTGTCCCGTTCCCACCCCGCGAACCAAGAGATTCAGCCAAGACCGTGGTGTAGCCCACGCACTCGCAATTTCACCAACCTATCGACTGGGCCATCTTTGGGCTTTGCTGCCAAGGACATGGCGTCCCAAGACTACCGCTGGCAACACATGGCCGGGGATTTCAAGTTGTCGCTCGGCCAGTGCTTAGGAGCTGCTGCTGCATTGGTGAGCTTCAGTCCTCCCCGCAGTGAGATTTGGTCTTGTCGCTGTGAAAGTGAGCCTCACATTTCTACTTGCAGATTGTCGCATACTGCTTAGCCAGAGCCGTGTACAATCTCCACTTTCACCCTCTTGCTAGATATCCTGGGCCAAAGCTTGCCGCTATCACCGATGCCTGGTGGGCTTACTCGAGGTAATACTCCAATGAGACCGTGCCGGCCGTCCCGGATCCAGCCCTGTTTCACAGAACAGACGCATAGGTTTATCAAAATTATTTTGAATTAATTCATCCGAAATCGTAGTATTACTGGAAAGTACCCTTGGATCATAGAAAAGGTCATCAAACAATATGGTAAGCATCAGAGAAATACCATCTCGTTTATGATTCCGTGGCTTACATTTGTGAAGGCGATGTGGTTCGCATTGCTCCCAATGAGCTTGTGTTCCTGAAGCCCGAAGCAGCCAAAGGTGAGTTCCCGGTTGCGAAACCCCTCGGAGGCTATTAAAGTGTTGACTTGGATGCTATGCCAGACATATACCTCGCGCAGGAGAAGAACCTCGAGCTTTTCGTCCAAGTCGGGTACGACGCCTTGGATACCGGCGATGGTGGTATCAGTGGCGAGACAGATCCCGTCAAACATCGTGAGACAGCGAAGAAACTTGCGCCAGCTTTCAGCGCGAGAAACTTTAAGGCTAAGGAAAAGGCTGTCCATCATCACATAGACCTGTTCGTCCAGAGAATGAAAGAAAGGGGGAGTGGTGAGCAAGGGGCTGAATTACGATGCTGGTCGGATTGGCTGGCGCTGGACCTCTCTGCCGACATGACATACGGCCTCATGATGAATCAATTGCGTGACAGTAAGACTCCCATAGGCCTTGTATTAGCATGATGCTAATTTGAGACAGTGAAAGATTCGCTCCTCCTCAGCGCGACTTTGAAGCTGAATCTCTTCCTAACAATGAGTCAGATCACGAGGAAATTCCGCATTCTTGCCCCGTTAGTGTACTTGACCATTCCGCCATCCATATGGTCGTTGATGCCAAAGCTCATTGGGATGAACCAAGAGGATGTCAAGGCCCGCCTCGAGCGCCGAGGCCAGACCGAGCACCTGGATTACTTCGAGCAACTCTTCCCAGCGGACAAGCCTCTCCCTGAAGACAAGAAGTACATATATCACCTGGAAAACGTCGCGGGACAACTTCTTCTGGCAGGTTGGCAGCCGCTTGCGAATCAGTTCTATTCACTGATATTTTTCATACTAAAGGAGCCGGAGGCTTACGGCGCGCTGGTTGAGGAGGTCAGGGGTGCAATCGCCAACTACGACGCAATCACCAGCGATAACACGGCTGGTTTGGAGTACCTTCAGGCTTGCGCGCATGAGAGCCTTCGTCTCCATCAAGAGACTACCGACGGGCTGCCGCGAGTGAGCCCTGGAGCGATCGTGGACGGCAGATATATCCCCAAAGGTGTAAGTCGCAGTGCCCTGCTGCATAGCTACGGCAAAACATGGAAACCCTTTCGCTGAGATGCACCCCTCCAGGTGACCTGCCAGATCAGCTACTTTGCTGCAGCACGAAGCCCGCAATTCTTCACCGATCCGCTGAGCTTCCGCCCAGGACGGTGGTTGTCGCCGGAGCACCCGAGGTTCGACCCGAGATACAAGGATGACAATCTCAAGGCATCCAAGCCTTTTAGTCAAGGACCTCGAGGATGCCCCGGTGGGCCGATAGCCCTATCTGTCATACGGCTATTTGTCGCCAAGGTCTTGTGGGAATTCGATCTGGAAGCCGTGTCAGGTCAGGATGGGTTGTCATTCGACAGGGACTTTAGATTTATGACTTTCTGGGAGAGACCACCATTTCGGGTCCGTTTCAAGCCTATTCGACGGGCATGAAACGACCCGCGGGAACTAAATGATTGAGAAAATCGGCCTAGAAGGTCTAGTGTATCTTTGAAATGTCCTTCTGGATAGTTTCTGCCCGACCCTGCATACTGCGCCTATGTACGAGACGGTTCAGCTTGCATGGCTTTATCGGAATCTCTATCCACTAGTACTTAGGTAGGTCTACATTCATCTAATCTCTATTGGTGATATATTAGAACAATCAGCGATTTGGTTGAACCGATGTGATTACTTTGTCCCCCCTGACTTCCAAGTCGGCCTCTTGCCCCCGCCGGTCCCAAAACTATCCAACCCAGTCGGGGACCGCATCCGGTTCAGGTCAGGGATCTCATAAGACGCCCAGGTCCTCTGCCGGCGGACCGTCGCCCAGAAGTCGTAGCTCCGTTCCTTGTTCTTGCGCTCGCGCCGCTCCCTGTCCTCGCGAGCCTTGTCCGCCCTCCGCCGCATCTTGGCCTCCCTGCTGGCCTCGGGCTCCAGCTTCCTCGTCTCCTCCTTGAAGGCCTCCCAGCGCCGCTTGAGCCGCAGCCACGCCAGCCCGCAGAAGATCTGCACGCGGGACGAGAAGGCCGCCACGAAGGTGACGACGACCAGGACGAACGAGATGGGCAGGCTGATCTCGCCGATGAAGGCCATCGTGGGCAGCTGCTCGTCCCACTCGACCACGTTCATGCCGAAGAGCGAGGTGAAAAAGGACAGCGGCAGGAAGATGACGGTGAAGATGGTGAAGATCATGACCGACAGGTTCTGCGAGCTCGCCAGCTCCGTCTGCAGCCGCGACCACCTCACGTCGTCGACCTGCGCCTGGCGCTGCGCCATCTCGAGGAGCTTCTCGTAGTCGCCCCTGGTGGCCGCGACCCGGTCCAGCATCTCGGCCGCCTGCGTCTTGTACTCGGCCAGCCTGTCCAGCGCCTCCTGCAGGTACCCGCGGCCGTTGTGCGTCATGTCCCTCAGCGCGTCGCCCTCGTAGATCTCGAGCATCCGGCCGAGCATGGTCGTCTGCGTCTCGAACAGCTTCATCAGCGTCCTGAGCTCGTCCTCCATGTCGCGCAGCTCCATGAGCGCCGACGTGTTCTCGCGGTTCTCCCGCTCCGCCTCCTCGATCTCGCGCTTGTGCCGCCTCTTGATCGACTTTGCGCTGGCCTCCGCCAGCTGCTCCTCTTCCGAGTCGACGTCCTTGAAGGTCTGCATGCGGAATTTCTTGAGCTTCCATGTCATGCGTTCGGTCTGGCGGTGATACCTTGTCAGTCATTTGGGGGTACATCTGGGATGGGAAGGACTTATCATACCAGGATTCCAATGGCTTCCTCGAAGATCCGGAAGATCTCGAGATCGGGGTGTGAAGATCGATCGAGTAGAACGGTGACAGCATGGAGGGCAACAAAGGCAGCGAGGTCCAGTGCGTTCTCACATCTCCCGGTGAGATCGCCATTGAGCTCGTTGTAGATGCTGTTCCTCAGATCGGCCTGCTGGAAGAGGGCTCCCTCAGACGGTCGAGACTCGCGTTTCGGGAAGAAGGTGGTCAGTGTTGTGGTATCAATGGCCCACAGCCACAGCTGGTCAACCATGAGCAGGTTCCCATCACGGAGCGGCTCCTCGTGCTCGCTGTCTGATTCAGAGCTTGCAGTCTCCTTCTGGTTCTCAATAGCCTCGTGCAGGCGCTTTGTGCCGACCGAGTATCTCTGCACCAGGGCCTTGATGTCTTCTTCGTCGCTCCACGTTTTTCCGACAAAGGGCCGCCGTGGGTTGTTTTGTTTAGTGAGTTTGTACAACATCTGATCATCATCACGGGCGTTTGTGTCTTTTAGAGATGGATATCCGAACTGATCCAAAGTCCGACGACAGTTCAACGGTGGGTCATGGCCTATGTATTCCCACATCACGCGCATTTCGAGGGACTCGAGGTCGGCGATGTCCTCGGGTACTGGCCTTGAGCGACCGTGAGCAAGCCTCCGGGTCATGATGTTTCTGCGTCTTATGATTTGCTTGTATGTGTCGAAATGGAGATAAGGGAGGTAGACGTAGAGATATGTCGGCAACGGGCCGGAATTAAGCTGGGGGCTTGAGTGTGACAGTCGAGGAGATGGTGCCGATTCGGGAGAAAAGTAATGCACAGCAGGCTTGACAAACGACGGCTGGGTCTGCGAGTGTCGACCTTGCACGTGTTTTGAAACCCAGTTCTCGTTGTTGAACAGCTTGCTAAAGTCCTGGCGGTGTGTCTCCGATAGTGTGTCAAAAATGTCCTTGACCCAGAGAGGGTTTGTGAAGGGCAGATGGATCCACATGAACTTCCTGCGGTCGGCATTCGGTCTCGAAAACCCGGCTGTAAAGTTCAACATTGCGGGTGCCTTGCCAAGTCTATCAGCTTGATATCGGGACCCTGTGTCAAAGCCCGTGTGATCTGAGGCTGCCCTTGCGCGGTACTCAGCGATCTCTTCCGTGTCTGCGTCCTCATCCGGGGCCATTTGCCGGTCAGTCGGGTCTGACATCGTGGTTGATGTCATAACACTACCTCGGCTTGGAGGACGCTGGAACCCAGGCATGGACAGTGCTGGGAGCGTTAGACTATGTGGACGCCTGCCAATTGGAGGTGGTGAATTCCCCTCGCTCGTGGTCGGCCTGGCCGAAGGGAGAGTGACCACGATGTCAGGAGATTCTGGCCGCCGTTGCTGGTTAGTCCCAGAAACAGTAGACTTCAAGAAGTTGTGCACGCCCTTCAGGATATTCAGGCCGCCGCCATGGCTGCTATTAGGCCTATTAGCTGGGTTCTGGGGCCCATCTTGCGCTCCAGATGCGCCGTACCGTCGCGGGACGCGCCTCAGGCGCTCCTCCAAGCACAGTTCGGGTCCCTTCTCGAGGAACTCTGCGAGATGGTATTTGGCAATGTAGAGGCGAATGTCAGACTCGAGGCTGGCATCCGGGTCCTCGTAAAACCCGATCAGCTCGACCTTAACGTGCTCCTTCAACTTCAGCGGCGTGTGGATAGTCTGGCTGAGGGCCTCGGCCTTGGCGATGGCAGCCGCGAGGTCCTGCAGATAGGTGGCGAGCGTTCGAGGGTTTGTGACGCCGAAAGATGCACAGTGGGCGTGGTCGCTCTCCAAAGCTGAGTAAATCGTCTCGTGTCTGACGTCCACAATGGCGGATTTGATGGAAACCAGCGGAGCCGAGAACTGGACCTCGTCGGCATAATCTAGGCCGGAGCCAGAGAGCAGGGAGTCTATGGTCTCGTAGAAACTCCAGACCCTCATTTCACTGACAACGTCTGTGAACTCGTCATGCATCTTAATGAGGTTCTTGTTGCTGACTCGGATCTCGTTTACCAGAGACGGCGGCAGTGGCCGCTGCAGATGAAGCAGTCCCTGGATGCTTTCGCTCAGGTGCCTCATAGACATATAGCTGGATCCGCGGTGTGGTGTCGCTGGTTGTGTTAGCTTTGAATATGTTCTAATGAACGGGGTAAAGATATCCTTACCAAAGAAGGTGATGCCGTGGCAGTTGAACAGAATGGGGCGGAACTTTTCATCCTTGCTTGCCATGAGCAGAGCCTTCTTGACCACCAGGCCACCAATGCTGTGCGCGATGAAGAAGAGGGGCCGGGACACATGCTGCCGTTGGCGCCGTTTGAACACATTCTCCAACAGATCTCTTGCGAGTCCCTCGAGCGTGGTGCTGTCAGTGAGCTCACGGTGCCTGTAAAGCAAGACCCTCGCCGTGTTCGCATAGCGGCGGATGCCCTGTCTGACCCACAGGTGAGCCGCCCTGGGAAAGTTGCCGCCGATACCAGGCGACAGGATGGCATCGCCAGCCAGCTCCTTGATTGTGGACTGGGGTATCACGTCCTCGTGGCCAGGCTCGCCGAAGAAGTTGTCCGGGAGGGGATCCCGGGTCCATGTCTCAACAGGGTCTGCGCCCGGACAAGGGACGGTGATGATATCGACCTTAGTCTCATTGTAGCCTACGCCGCCGACCTCTCCGTCGACGTGTGCGAATCCCGGCTCGGGGTCCCAGTGGGACATGCTCGTCCGGTTGGACGCCTCATGCTCGCTGACGCGCACTGCAGCCAGCTTGTCCTTGGCTGAGCTCGGGCCGGGGGTCGACTGAGGGGTTGGAAACACTGGCCTGGATGGGAGGGGGTCTGATGAAATGCGCTCTGGGGAGTCTCTGAGTTCGTCCTCGAGTCTCGAGTCATCGAGTGCGTCTGCCACATCTGCGGGTACAGACGCTGGCACAGACGTGTCGGATTGGCCCTGCGAGACGAGGGGCCGACGATCCATTTTCAAATGCTGCTAAGCGCGCGTGCGGGAAAATCACGGCTGCGGTGTGGGTGTGGCTGTAACATCTCTTCCGCCAACGACGACGATAGAGACAGAAAAACAGGAGGCTCGAAACTTTGAGAGTCAAAAAATAAGACCGGGATCGCGGAGCCTAGAGAAAAATTACCAGGCAGTCTATCTATTACCTCACGAGCCCTCAGGCGACAAAGGGCTGTAGGCTCCAGTCTGACATGCCCCGAGACTGCGCCCCCGGAATGGAGGGTCACGAAGCCACGACGCGCCAATCCTTCGGTGAGGAAATGCCGGGGCTTGTTTGCCTAGGCAGCTCCTCAGGAGCCGGCGCGCAGGAGCTTAACCTGCTGAGTCCGCTGAGGCGCATCTGACCCATCTGACCCGGGAGGCGATCCACACTAACGCCGATCGGTGTGGTCATTTTAGAAAGGGATGATCATCTGCTCCCGCCGAGTTGCAGGTGGGAGCTGCCGAGATGCCGTGCTGGGCCACCTGGGTCTCGTCCATCCACCTATTGTGCTTATCAAACCTGTCACCGACTATTGTACGCCGCAAACATTTAATTACATATGACTAAGAACAGCCCACCTAAGCCTTGTTCTCTTGTCTAGTAGATAGATATGCGGCGCTTAGGTCTACGGTACTGCATGTGTGTATTTATTGTATATATTCTATTATAATTCTAAGTAGGGTATGTTAAATAAAGTAAATTGATTGGTTATTTAACTATAAATAGTAAGTATAGGAAGCTTATTCTTATAGATAATAGAGTGTTATAATAGGTGGATTTAATTAGTTATTTATAGCTTAATATACCCTTTAAATAACTAATTAATTATTTAAATAAAGTATTATATACTTTCTTATTATAGTATTATAAATAATAAGTTAATTCTATATTTTAAATAGATTTAATTAAGTTTTAAATAGTAATAAATAAAATAATTAATATTTATTATATACTTTTAAGTGCTTTAAATATATAAAACTTTTAGTTTTTAGTATATTATACTTACTAATTTTATATAAAAATAGATAAATTTCTTTTTATATTTTTCTTATTATTTTATATTTATATATATTTATATATATATAATATTATTCTATTTAAAAGTTATTAAGTAAAGTATTTATAAAGTTATTTAAATTATTAATAAGGTAATTTTATATTTATTTTTAAATATAAAATATATAATATAAGTATTTTATATTAATAATTTATATAATATAAGTTTATTAAAAAATTCCTTAAGGTTTATATTATTTATATAGTTTAAAGTAGAAAGAGTAGATATATCTTAATATTATACTCTTTTTAACTATTATATACCTTATACTTTCTTTATTATTAAAAGAAGAATAAAAGAAGTTAAGTTTATTATTAATACTTATTATATTATCCTTTATTTAAATTATATATACTTTATATTTATTAATAATACTATTAATATATATTATAAGTAAGTAAATATTAATTATTTAAATTATTATATTAAATATATTTATAAATATAATTATTAAAAGTTTTTATTTATATTATTATTATTATTATTAAGTTAATTAAATAGTTTAAAGTTAAGATTAATAAATTAATAAGTTTATTTTATTTTTATTAATATATTTAATATATTAATATATATAATAAACTTTATATTATATATATAAAACTTGATATTTATAATTTATTAAGTTAATATTATTATTTAAGTTTTTTCTTATAGTTTTATTAAGTTTAATAAAAAAGAAATAAGTAAAGAAAAAGAATAAAAATAAAAATAATATTACTATTTTATATATTAAGTATATTAAAGTATTTAAAAGAGTATTTATACTTTTATTAATTTAATATTTAAGTAACTTAAGGTTATATAGTATATTTATTTTTATATAATTTAAAAGTTTTACTTTATATAAATAAAGATTTTAATTATTTTATAATTTTTAAGTAGTTTTTATATTATATAAGTTTAATATATATTTAAAATATTTAAATTATATGATAAAAGAGTTTTATTAATTTATTTATTAATATAAACTTAATTAATAAATATTTTATTTAAAATAATTTTTAATATATTTTTATTTTAATTATATATTATAAATATTAATATAATAAAGCTTTATAATAATTGTTTTTACTTTATAATAATTAATTAAATTATTTAATTACTATTATTATAAAGTTTTATATATTTTTATATTAATTATTAAGTTTTAAAGTAGTTATTTAAAAGTTATAAGTTTTTTTAATATATATAATATTTAAAAGCTTTATTTTTATTATAAATATTATAATTATATTTTATTAAATAGCTTTTAATAAATTAATTTATTATAAAGTATTATAATATATTTTAAAATAAATATTAAGTTTCTTTATTATTTATAAAAAGTATTTATGTAAATAATTAATATTTTTAAAGCTTTTTTTTATATTATATTATTAAAAATATATAGTAAATATGTAAATAATATATTAGTTTATAACTTTTAAGTATTTTAATTTTAAATTTAATAAATAAAATAAAAGTTAAGTAATTATAAATACTATATTTATTTAAATTATTATTATTATATATAAACTTAAGTTTATATATTTTTAAAAACTTTAATTTATTCCTTTATAGTTTATTCTTTATACTTTAAAAGTATATATTTAAATATTAAAATATTTAAATTATTTAATAGATTAATATTAAAGTATTTAATAATTTTTAATATATATATTATATATTAAATAAAGTTTATTAATTATTTAGTTTTGATAATTTAAACCTTTAAATACTATTTAATTACTTTTAATTCTTAATTTTATATACTTTTTTAATTTTATTTATTATTTTATAAACTTTTAGTTTATTATTTTAATAATAAAGAATTAAATAGTTATTAATAAAAATATTATAATAATAATCTTTTATTTATTTTAAAAGAATATATTTTTATATTAATTTATAATTTAAACTTTTAAAATATTAATATAAACTCTTTATATTATAAGAATAATATATTTTAATTATATATTATATTATAAAACTTTATATACTTTTTAATTATTTAAATGTATTTAAAAGTTTATAATAAATAAAAACTTTATTAAATTAAATATTAAAAATATACTTATTATATTAAATTATATAATTTTAAGATTATATTAAATAATAAAACTATAATAATTTAAAATAACTTTATAATAAATATTATTATATATATATTTTAAAGTATATTTTATAATTATATATCTTTATATATATATAATTAAGTCTTATTATATTTTAAAACTTATTTTAATTTTATTTATATATAAATATTTATTTAAATAAAATAATTTATTTTTAATTAAGTTTTTAACTATTTTTATACTTTTATTAATTTACATATTTAATTTAACTTATATAATAGGTTTAAAAGTTTATTATTAAATAATTTTATAGTTTTTTAATTATTTAATAATAGTTTATAAAGTTTATTTTTATATAATTTTACTATATATATAAGTTTAAGATTTCTTTAAATTATTAAGTATTATTAAATTATTATAAATAATATTATATATAATATTTTATTCCTTTTAAATATAAAGCTAAAAGATTTATAATTATAATTTTATAATTAATTTTTATTTAATTATATTATATTATTATAACTTTATTTAATTTCTAGCCTTATTTAAGCTTTTTAAAGCTTTTTTAATTTTAATATCTTTAAAGGAATTAAAGCTTTATATTCTTTAATTTTAAGTTTAAAATTCTTATAGATTTTAATATACTTTAAATTAAGCTTATAATCCCTTAGTTTTTCTAGAAATATATTAACTATTTTAAATATTAATGATTTCTTTTTAAAGTAAAAATCTATTTTTATATAGTTATAAACTTAATTATTAATAGCTATTTCTTTTTTTATTTATAAGCTATTAGAATTATAAACTTAAATAATAGAGTGTAGTTACCTTATCTAATAATCTCTTAGTTTAGTGGGCTGAATAACTGCTTTTAAGTAGTTTTACTTATAATATAGTAGAGCTAATAGATATATATTTGCTTATAAAGTAGAGTTAAAACCCTTAAGAGAATAATAGCTTTTATCTTTACCTATTTTAATTAACTTATATTTATTTAAGTTATATAGTAATATTATATATAGTGCTTAATAGCGTTAAGATTAAGTAGTTTATAGTTTGTAATAGCTTTAACCTTTAATAAGCTAATAGTGCTAGTTTAAATAGGTACGGCTTAGTGTATTAGCGCTAGAAGGTATCTTTTAATAATGAATAGTATTATAGATAGTAATAGTAAATTATAAAGTTATTATAAAAAGTCTTATATAGTAAACTTAGCTAAATTAATTTTTAAAAAATATATTATATTTTATTCTTTTAAAACCCTAACTATTTACTTCTAACTTAATAGTAGAATTAAAAATATAAATAATTTATATAATATTTTATATATTTAATCTTTTACTTAAAGTTATTTATTAATTAAATATATAAGTATTAAAGAAAAGAAATTATTTATAAATTTTTAAAATATTAATATATTTATTTTTAAAAGTATTATAATAAAATACTTTTATATTTTAATAATATTTTTATAAATATTAACTTACCCTTATTATTAGTTATTATTTTTTTATTTTAAAATAAATAATTTAATTAAATTTAATTATAATAAAGAATTAATTTATATAATAATAATATTATTAATATATTTTTATTAAAGAAGAATCCTTAACTATTTATTAATAACTTTATTTTTAAGCTTAATACCTCTTTTAAAGTTTTTTATTTTAAATTAAAAGCTTTTATACTTTAATATTTTATAATTAAATTAAATATTTACTTTAAACTTAATAATTAACTTTTAAATAATAATTTCTTATCTTTAAGTTTATAATAAATATATTTAAAAACTTTAAATTTAATTAAATATTATTTAAAGATAATATTTTACTTTAAATATTTATTTAAATAAAATCTTTATTTATTTTTATAATAATTTAATTAAATATATTTAAATATTATTATATATTTAATTAATTTATTTTATTTTATAAAGTATAAAATATAGTTTTATTAAATATAATATTATATATATATAGTATATAGTTAAGCTTTAAAATCTATATTAAGTAAATATTTATTACTTTATATTTTATAAAATACTTAATATAAATATATAACTAAACTCTATAATTATATTTATAATATTTAACTTTATAAATTTTTATAATAAATATATTAAATAATTATATATATATATATATATATTTAATTTAAATAAAGGTTTATAATAAACTTATATACTTTTCAAAAGTATATTAATAAAAATATTAAGTAAACTAAACCTTTAATATTTAATATAAAAGTATTATATAATTATTTTATAAAAATTAATTATAAAGATAAATTACTACTTTACTTATATATAATTATAACTTTTCTAAAATTTACTTTAATATATATTTTAATAAACTAAATAATAACCTTTTAATTAATATACTTTATATTATTATTAAGTTTATAAATATATATTAATATATATTTAATTTAAATTTTTATCTTTTATATTATACTTTATATATAATTATTTTATAGAAAGAAAATATAAAAATATTATTATTTTATTAAATCTTATAAATAATGAGTTTATATTATATTTTATTATATTTATATAGTTTTAAAATATAAGAAATATATCTTTTAAGTTTTTATTTAATAATATTTTATTATAAAATATATTTAAAACTTATTTTTAATTACTAATAGTTATAATATACCTTTAAAACTAAATAAAAGTTAAATAAATTCTATTAAATATATTAAAAGAGTATTTTATTTAATCTTTAAAAGCTTATTTTAATATAATCTATTTAATATATATTAAAATATAATATTTATATTAAATATATAATATATTATTTATTTTAACTTTATACATTACCTATATTATTACCTTTAAAATATTTAAATTAAAATATTTAACTTTAATATATTAAAAGTATTTTAAATCTTCTTTTATAAATAATAATAGTATAAAAGTACTATATTAATACTTAAATTAAAAACTATAATTTTACTTTACTTATTAAAATACTTTAAACTTAAATAAATAAAAATAATTTATATTTAATAAGTATTAAGTTTTAATAATATTTTAATTATATAAGAATTATATTTTCTTAATAGTTTTAAACTTAAATATATAATTAAATCTATAATATTATACTTTAAACTTAAATAAAAGAACTTTTAAAATAATATTTATATAAAATCCTTTAATAATAACTATATTAATTAATATTAAATATTCCTTTTAAAGTGCTTTTATAATATTTTATTATATTTTAAAATACTTAAATACTTTTTAATATTAAAAATATAGTTTCTATTTTAATTAATTTATTAAATTTAATTACTTAAAATAAACTAAATTTTAAAACCTTTAATTATTAATTAAATAAAATACTTTATAATTATTAAATAAAATACTTTAAAAAGTTAATAAAACATTTTGTAAATAGTTAAAAATTTAATATACTTTTAATATTTTAATTAATTAAAAGAAGTATTTAATTTATTAAAATATATAAACTTAATTTACTTTTTTATTAATAAAATTAATATACTTATTCTTTTACTATCCCTTATTAAAAGCTTAATATATAAATTAACTTATTTATTAAGTTATAAATACTTATAAATCTCCTTAATTTTTAAAGGTATTAAATTATTCTTTTAAATTTTACTATTTATTTTAAAGAACCTTTAATAACTTACTTTATTAAAATATAATTTTTAAAAACTATTTATATTTTTATTTAAAAATTTATAAAGATATTAATAAAGTTTTTATATACTTTTCCTTTATATTAATTCCTTAAATTTCCTTTTAACTTTAACTATTTAAAGATAATAAATATTATAAATATAATAAGTCCTTTAAACTTATCTACTTTTTAATATATACTATTTTTAAACTATTTATTTAAATTAAATAAAATTTAAATCTTTAAATTAAACTTATTTTATATTATTAAAGTTTAAAATATTTAATTAATTTAAATTAAAATAAATTAAATATCTATAATATTAAAGAAATCTTTTATAATAAATATACTTTTAATTTTAATAAGTTTATATATTTTAACCTATTTAAAATCTTAAATCTAATAAATATCTTATTTAAAGAGGTTAATTTCTTTTACTCTTATTATAGTTAATATTATTTAATATTTTTTATAATAATTATTTATATACTTACTTTTAAAAGTATTAAAATATTTTTAAATATTTTAATAAATAAATAAAGTTTAATAAATTATTTAAAGCTTAATATTTTATTTATATAAAAATAAATAAATTTAAATTAATGATATAATTTATTTAGTTTTAAATTAACTATTAATAATTAGTAAATATAATAAAACTATAAAAGATTTAAATTATTATTTATAATACTTTATAAACTTTTTTAATAACTTTTATTTAATTTTTAAGTTTAATTAACTTTAATTTTTATTTATTAATTAATATATTAAATTTAAACTATTTAATTATTTAATTAAAATATTTAATTTAAATATTAATTTACTTTTAATAAAAGAATATTAAATATTATATATTTTAAAAGGCTTAATAATATATTATTAAACTTAAAGAAATTTAAGTTAATAATATTTTATATTTCTTTAAATATAAAATAAAATTAAAATTAAATATATTATTTTAAAAGCTCTTTCTATTATAAAAAGTATTATTTTAATAAAAATATATTTAAAGTTTTTAAAAATATATTAAATAATATAATTTATTTATTTTAAATTAAAAAATATTTAAATAATAAAAAAATATACTTAAAAATATATATTTTAAAGAAAAATTAAATTAAAGTTAAACTTATAATTATTATAATTTTAAATAAAGTATATTAAATAAAGTAAATTAATTAATTATTTAATTATAAATAGTAAGTATAGGAAGCCTATTCTTATAGATAATAGAGCGTTATAATAGGTGGACCTAATTAGTTACCCACAGCTCGATACATTCTTATGAGTTACTCGACGGATATCCTTTCCTTTATGGTACCTCGTGCGCCTGCAACTCACACCGTCTGCTGCATCACGAATTTCCACTTGAATGTCCACTTGTATGGAGATACAGGTGAAATCCCTCGATCTCACTCCTGGTCTGTGATGACTGAGAACCCCGATTTCTCGGCATGAGCGCACCTGCACGTCTAGTATGTAATGTGACTTGGGTCAGTCAGAACATCATCAGACAGTGTCTGCGAAAGACTGCATCTTTTAGCATTTTCCCGGCGAGAAGGATTCGAAGACTTCGATGTGCCACATGCCATGTTGCCTTACTTTTATCCCGAATACCCTAGGGTAGGCTCCATCCCCGCTCAGAACTTTCTGCTTCCCTTCTGTGCTCGGATGAGGGTGCTTGAGAATACTGTATCCTGCGAGATATAATTTCTGGGCAATGAGGTTGGGTTTTGGGACCTTGGAGCCATCAGGCAAAGTGGAGTCTTCTTCAAGTTTGACTTGGCAAGGTGGGACAGTTCTAGGTACCACCAGCCTTTGGCCAAGTATTTCGCGATATCTTAGATTGGCATCCGGCTGCACCCCACAATTCAAGCAGATCCTGTAACCAATGATCCAAATCCTACTGAAAAAATTTGGAACCTCTTGCCTAGGCTTCAGCCCTGCTGCCTAGATACCAGATACACGTTGCTAGTCATGGAATACGGGCTGGGCCGTTCATAAATGGACTTGAGGGTGGGTGCGAGATTTTATCAGAAAGAAACGAATATTGAACCAAGGATGTGAGCACTATACTGTTGTCACCGGCCTCATTGCATTAGCTAGCTCTTTAGATGGTTAGTAATCTCTGGATGATCCCCCTACATCTCCACCGATTGGTGTATACAGTGAGATCCACAGATGAGCCGGCATCCGCAGCCACTTGCTCCCGCTGCAACTCAGACGGCCTATCGTATTTCTACCACTTTTATCGACACTGTATGATTTTTAAACGGTGGGTCTTGAGCGTTTACCACTGTATTAAAGCGCCTGTATGTCTTCGGGCGTATGCGGAATAGAAGCAAACCCAGATAGATGTGTCTGGATAGGCAATGATGGTATTACAAAGGATCATACTTAATCTAAAGCGTTCCGACTTTCTTACGGGAGTAAATCACACAGCAATCATGGACAAATGCCGGTCCAACAGGTACGCACGTATGAACTTTGCAGGTAACTCCCAATGACACCAACATTGACGACAGAGCAGTAGCACCTGTATTCACTGTTTTCAATTCAAGGGGGCGACACGAGATGGTGCATTGTTGTAATTTTGTCTATCAGGAACTTGACTAAGGTGTCTCAGCTGTATGGGCTCCTACATATTCACTCGCAGTGTGTACATCTGTCAAAATCAAGCAAAAGTCTGATACCTAGGTAATTTGTCTTCTAACTTATGTGTTTGGACCATCCCTTAAAACTGAATCACGGATCGATAATGTGCTTTGCCAGACACCATTGTGTCTGGATTGATCAGAAATTTAGCACAGGCTCCACGTTTCACTGTCTACGACCTTGAACTGAGGGCATCACTTACCATAAGCCTCCTGTGCCTTATCCAGAGGAAAAGTTTGGACAATAGAGCTGACACCATGGCGAGCTGCAAACTCGAATGTCTTTTCACTGTCAGAGGCATTGCCCGTGGGGCAGGCCTGAACCGAGATGCCGTATTTGATCATCTCATACGTGTCGATGGTCACATCTCCGGGAATTGCCAAGATGAGAAGCTTCCCGAGAATGTTGAGTCCCTTGATCAACGGGGTCATGGCCTCAGCACTCAGCGCTGTTGTCAGGGCTGCTTTGGCGCTTCCGAGATTCCGCAGCGCCTGGCCTGGGTCACCGGCAGAGGCGTCAATGTAGTACTCACTGGCTCCGAGCTTGCGCGCGTCGGCTTCCTTTTCTGGGCCACGTGATACCGCTACCACCTTGAAGCCCATCTTCTAAACAGGTCAATTCATCTGACACTGGCATGACATCAATGATATCTGACGGTACGAAATTTTCCATCCAAACACTCATCTACTACTTCCGGCTGAAATAGACCCACACCAATTTTCTTTCTGGGCCTAGCACTGTCTACAATGCAACATAAGGTCTTGCCACTGATACGCATGTTGATGTCCACATCACCTTTCATGATTTCCCCGTCCTCATGCCGGAATCACCAAAGTCCTGCCCCCACTTCCAAACCTTTCTGTCCATATCACGCCTGACCAATACTGCCACCAGCAACATGACAGAGCCAAGCACCCAATCACAGAGACCCTTCCAGAGTCCACCCCTGACGCTGGCACCCAGAGAACATGACATAAGACACCTTGTCTGAAAGTCACTAGTAATGAGTTCCAGCCCATTTTCCAACCCCTCGATACTCTTCCTTGCTACTTCATGAGGTGTTTGACCTTTATCTGACTCCTCAAGCATCTTCGTAAGATCAGACTTTATCTCATTCTCAGTCACTGACGATTCGGTAATGATGGTGGCTGGAAATATCGTATGAACCTTTATTTGGGGCAAACCTGGATTCGCCCCAGCATAAAGATTCATCTCTTGCGAAATCGAGTCAGAGAGGGAACGTAATGCAGCTTTGCTAGGGTTGTATGGCGCGTATCCTGCAACCCCATAAAAAGCAAGGAGCGACGAGGTGAAGATGATGTGTCTGGGAGCCAGACTCTCAGATTTGGTTGGTGAGGTTGTTGATTGAAGCTTTGATTGAGGATCAGTCCTAAGCCATGCCCTGAGGATTGCGTGCGCCATGTAAACACTGGTGAAATAATTGTTGTCCATGTGTGTTTTGAATTCCGAAACGTCGGTATCAACGAAGAGTGTGGGATGAGCTATTCCAGCACAACACCATACAATATCTGGCGGTTGTCCCGAGTTCCATTTGGACGTTTCGGCGATAACTCTGGCACACGTCTCAGGTGCTGTCAGGTCGGCGCTGATATGGTGAAAGCGCTGTGTCTCTGGTGATGCTGCTCCTGAACTGATGTATTGGAGAGCATGCTCTAATTTCTTGGCATCTCTCGCCACGATTACAACATTGGCCCCTCTCTGGGCCAGCTGGTGCGCTGCTTCGCGCCCCGTGCCTTGGGATCCCCCTGTTATTAAAACAGTCTAGAAACAATCAGCAACCGTATCATATGGCTGCAGGGGTTCGGGACTAAAAGATACTCACTCGCCCATTGACAGGAAATGAATTTGTAGAGATTGATGCGCCCATGGCAGGCTGTCAGTGGATTTTAGTTTGTCGCCAGATATCACACTTGTTTGAAAAGGAGACAAGGTTTTGTGGGTGACCCTGGGACTTGAAGGCATTGGCAACCGCTGCGAAAACCTGTCCTCCACTAGTCCCAGCCGATACCGGAGTAATCCTGGTATGCAAATGCTGGTATGCATCGATTCTGAAGTCATTGACGGGCATTCTGCCCTTCTTTCCACGGATTGACTACACACTGCTGAAACCAGCAACTGTTCCATAAGTACTCGCCTGTTCGCTTGATTGCCAAAGTCTGAGATGGATGCCCAGGCCGGCGGCCAGAAGGCAACCACCAGCATGCACGTTGTGTAAGCCGCTCAATAGCCGAGATCATGTATGAAAGCGCACTGTGTGCCAAATAGGTGACGGCAGGGCAATATGTAGAGGGAATTTTGAGACCTGCTCCCACCACTCACAGCCTTGTGTCACCTCTTGTTTGACTGGCGCAGACCAGCTGCCGGTTGGAAGCACTTGGCGACAACCGACATTCCCAATTCGCAATGCCTAGGTATGATCTCTTGTTGTTCATTAAAGGTCGGATCATGGGACCTCAACTAGGCTACACTCTAAAGCTAGGCACAATCAATTAAATATGTAGGCTCGTAATGCAAAATTCAGCCTCACTTCATGCACAGTGGCAACATCAGTTTAACACCACTGAACCTCTCAAGACATGGTGCATAGACTTAGAGATCATACAACAGACTTGTCATGCAGGCCATTCAGCTTGCGAAGACAACCAACTGAATGAATGCAGTACCTAGGTACAGCACAGGGGGGGTCTCTTTACGCAGATGGCTCTGCATTCTGACCCGTCAGAATAAGCACCACCCTCCATGGGTTACCAAGTGGCGGCCACGGGAATAATAATGTTCGCATTACTAACTATCACATCTCAAAACTATAAATTGTAAGACTGTGTGAACTGATGCCCACTGGGCACAATGGGCTTCTACAATCGACATGTTGTGTGTAGACCTGTAAGACCGGTCAGCTTGCCAAGTCGTGTCTGCCACAGTTCGAGCCGTGCCACATCATGCAAGAAGAACGAGGTATTCGGCACCCATCATGTGCCCCCATACCGGGCAACCAGGGTCGCATGTCCTGTAAGCATGGCTTGACGCACACAAGCGGCCCGGGGATCCGTTCGAGTGCTCTGGCGGAGAATCTAATCCCGTGGGACTTTCACAACAAGTTGATGAGATCTACATTGATGAAACATTTTGGTTCTTCGAGTTGTTCAAGGGCGCCATGACATCGACCAAATCAGGATGCCCTCGCCATCCTTCTTCGGCAGACCATCCCGGCCAACAACTCCCTTCCCTAGGACAATTTCTCCGTGGTTCTCAAAGCCGTTCTTGAGGTAAACACTTTGAGATGTCTCCGTCGTGGCCTCCAGCCAAATCGGGCACCCGCTAGTCCTGGTTCGCTCTTGCAAATCCTTGATCAATATACTGGCGAGGCCTCCTCGTTGAAAGTCTACTGCTGTGCCCATGATGAATATATACCAGTGCTTTTGCTGCTCTTCTTTTGAGAATACCTTCTTTCTAACGTGCTCGGTAGCAGGAGCATACTCGAGGCTAGCACGCTGCAAAGGAGACACCTGTTAGTTATGTGCTAAAGGCCAAAGGAGTGAGAAAGAGGATGAAGTGCCTTCAAAAATCCCAAGCCCATGTTCCAGAGCGCAGGCAAGAGCCCTGCCTTCAAGAATGTCCACGGATTCTCAGCCGATTCATCTGGTGGCATGAACACACCGCAGGAGCCAAAGTCGCCTGCTTCGACAAACAGGGCATTGTTTAGCGCGCACTGGGTGAAAAACCCGCGGAAAAGCTTCTCGCGCAACACTTCGCGCTGAGCCGAGTCGAAGGTATGTAGAAACCATGTGTAGACTGGATCAGCGTGGAAGGCAGGCATTAAGACCTGGATGGTCCTCTTCATGCGTTCTATGAGGGAACAGTTAGTATTGCCTTATGTCGAAGACGGCATCAGGACAAGGGAGTCAGACCTTGGCTACCGGATGTGACTTGAACTGCTTGCTCGGTAGCCATTCTGGACGAAGGTTTGGGGGAGCAGCAAGCGGCTTGGGACTGCATGGCCATGAGAAGATGCGGGACAGTACACGCCTGAGAGGTGAGGCTGGTAGAGACGCGTTTGTCAGTGGTTTGGTCAAAGGAAACAGCCCGTTGGCTGCAAGCGTCACATGGAAACCTTGGAAACACCCGGTGAACGGGCCCCGGGTTCTGATTGGTCATCTCACCGTTGACTTAGCGCCCTAGGTACATCCTAGATGCTTATGTACATGAAAGTAGCTGAGATACTCCATGTCGTCCAACAGTGTAAAGAGTCGTTGCTCCTTCATCACTTCACATGCATTTACAGGTCCAATGTGAGGGCTCAGTGAGCACTTTGCAGGCTCAAGGTGACTCACTCAGCCGCTCTGGCGATCTGCAGGAGGCTTCCTGCGATAAGAACCTTGGTTGGAGGCTGGTGATGATCTCTGCTTATTTAAAAAAGGTGTCTGCAGAAAGGCTCAGCCAACATGTTCATGCACACACCTTCCAAGGCTACTTGGCTTGGCCAACTGCGGATAGCCCCTCGATGGGATACCTCTGGCGATCCATTCACAATGCATCATTGATGCCGACGTACCTTGACACACTTCATCACGCCAAAATATCAGACCATATTCCTGGCTCCACGAGTTGGTCCCAACCAGCTGGATTCCGCTAGGCACTTCCGGTTGAACTTTTTCCTTTTCTCTTCAACACACTTTAACCAACACAGGACAGACACAGTGCCCAGCCCTCGATATCCCAGAGGCAGCAACTATGTCGTCAACTGCCAATCTCAGCGGTCCAGCTCTTGACCCGCCTGATGGCGTTGAGTCCGACTTTAATGACACAGGCCAGCATACGGTTGGATACGTCGTCGCAATCCTCGGTTTTATAATCTCGACCATGTCAGTGCTGCCCCACCTCGCCAACAGGGCCAATACCTAGGATAACAAGCGATCATCTCGAGGTCTGCTGAATTTGGAATCGAACGTCATCAGTGGAATGTTCGCCTTGGAGACCTTTCGTGGTACTTTTATGTAAGTAGCCCCAAACAAGTCTTGGTCGATCAACACTGAGAAGATAAAGAATATATACGTAGCCACACTTATCTATGGAACGGCAATGATGTGCCTAAAATTGTCAATACTTTTAAGTTGGCAGGATCTTTTCGTGCCGAAAGGAGTGCGCAATGGATTGTATTGGGCAATTCAAGTCTTGATATGGAGTAACGTTATGTTCTTTGTGAAGAAGCCGAGCTTCTTGCAGCAATGGAATTCGCTTTGAGCGCCTCTCTCGCACAAAGCCCAACGATGATGGAAGCGTCGTCGACAAGAATCGTTTCCTCCTCGGGATGGCACCCAAGGTTCCTCTCAACAGCGCCGACAGCAGCGTGCGTCTAAGGCAGGAAATCCGCCTACCCGTCTATCACAACAACCGAAGAGGTAGTGCGGGAATTGATGTCAAAGATGGGGGCAGCACCCTGGCAGACTTTCTCGCACATGCAAGGGCGGACCTGGTGGCAGTCTTGGGAACAGGGTCAGATCCAGCTGCCACTCGGCTGGCCGTCGAGATTGGCGCGCGTCTACTTGGAGTCCTGCTGCGCAATGGGGAAGAAGTTGTGATATCAAAGTCGCTATTAGAGCTGGGCCCCGACTCACTTGTGGCAATCGAGCTACGAGCGTGGTGGAAAGGTGCTTTTGGATTCGACATGGCGGTACGAGGCTCAGCCATGTGCCCACGTACTGTATTCTCTTTCCACTGTTATTGGCACTGTATTTCTTCAGACGCTGGGTCTTGAGCGTTTACCACTATATAAAGGCGCCACGTACATTTTACATGTATGGGGATTAAAAACGAAACCACTTGGATTCGACATGACCGTGCTTGAGATGCTGGGGATGGGCACGTTGGAAGCCCTTGGGCGGAAGGCTGTAGACGGTTTAAGAGCATTATATGGATGAGAGTTGAGACTAGGGATTATCTAGTACAGGTATATGTCAACGATTGTACTCATATGCCACACATAGGAATGGAGTGTTGTTGCCAGGTGAGTCATGTGATGGTACGGAGTACCTAGGTACTGTGAGCCTAGGGGAGTACATAGGTACCTATATAAGGCTTACAACCACATATGATATATCCATCAAAGGAAAACATATCAAACCACAAAAAAAAGCTCTCACACACATCCACTCTCCTTTAAAGCAACATCAGAGATGATATCAATGAATTTGCACAAGTCAGAGGTGGTTTACAAGCTGGTAGTTCAAGAGTACATATGTAGCTAGTGCAGGTGGGACGAACATCAGCCGGCCAAGACCCGGCCCAACTCGGACTTAACACACATGACCAGGACTTGTGTTGCACACGTCCAGCTCATCCTACACAGAGTAAGGAGCACCTCCAAGCATTCTAGCACGCTATTGACCCTTCCCGACACACATAAAAACAAGATATCCCCTCCACCAACCCACAACCTCTCCATCCATCCTCAGCCCGTCAAACCACCAAAATACATCCAGCAAAAGGGTCTGGCCGGGGATTGAACCCGGGACCTCGCGCAATGAGTGATTAGGGTGTTCCCTAAGCGCGAATCATACCACTAGACCACCAGACCAGTTGTTGTTGTTGAAATCCATGATTTTGTGGGATTCATGGAGGCTGTGCAAGCTTGGCGGCAGAGAGACCCTAGCGTGGCGGGTCATGTGGGTCTGTGCGTTCCAGCTGATTGTCCTAGGGTACATTTTACTCACATAACTTCAAGTTTTACCTAACTTTAAATACACTAAAGGTTTTTAATATATCCTTAAATATAGTTAATTAAGTGTTAGGGAGGATTAATATTAAAGTCTATCTAAGGAATGGCCTGGATACATGCCTAGATAAAGTGGTTAATTAGCCCACCATGGT